CTGCTCCCCGTGCACCAACACCTGCCACAACACACACACACCTTTACTATTTTATACAATAGATCAAATTTACGATTTTTTCCAACATCCCTAAATTATATGCAACTGACTGTAACTATAAGATGATATAGACCTAGAAGAATCTTATGTTAGTTGCTAATTTAATGAATTCGTAATTTCATCTTGAAACTGTTCTATTTTGACCAATGAGGAAGCGGCAACTGCACGGGAGAAGCCGTTTATATATTTCAGTTTTATTCACATGAGACAATTTCGAACGACTTTTTTTTTGCGTTCTGATATTTCTCTATCACTGTCAAAAAACAACCGTTAGATATAGCTATAGCAAAGCGGTATACTGACGACGTGCGGTGGTTTCAATATATTGATGAACTCCGAGGTCTGCTGGTAGTCGGTGTGCGCGGAGAAGGAGATGTAGTCTACGGACATCTTGAGCGGCAGCTTCTGGCCGGACATGGAGGTGATCTCCTCCGGCTCCGACAGGATCGTCTTGGCCAGCGTGCCCTCCACGCAGTACCCTGCACAAAGCAACAGAAACATTCCTTCCACAAATACTAGAAAAACATAACAACGGTTCATAGACAATATTCACTATCTCTTTCTAAATACAATATTTTTTTTAAATATCTCGTCGGACATTTAAGATTTAAGAAATATATAGACTGTTAGTTGTCAAGTTTAGTTCCACCTCATGTCCTTGTAGAGACATGTTATAATTTTTTTTATAAAATAATAAACTCCATCTTTTGTGTTAAAATATACTTTAAACATTAAATAGTGAGACATATTGGCGAGTTATTTAAATACAATTTTGACATATTAACATGTGATTTTGAAGACCTAACAATAGACAGCGTTAGTGGATCAGATGAAAATTCTCTCAAGTAATGTGTCATTTTTTGAATGTATGTGGTGCAGTGTGGTGCAGTGTGGTGTGACCTGCAATGATGACGCCGTTCTTGGGGTCGGTGCACCAAGACTCGAACAGCTCCCGCGACAGCCCCGACTGCATCATGCCGGGCGACGCCATGATCACACACGGCCCGATGTCCTCGAAGTGGTCGATACCCTGCACATAGTACACACTGGTTGCTAATCAAACGATGTATTTGTGAAAAGGAAATGGAAAGGGTACGTGAATTTAGCAGGGGAGAGTGCATATTAGAAGGGGAAATATTTTCTAAGATTCGTTCTCTGTCCAGTAAAAGTAACGCATCTGCAAATTTTAGTTCAGATATAGTAACATGTTTATTTAGCGATAATCATATTTAGATTACCGCTTGTATTTTATAATATAAAAGTCCAAATACAAGGAATCTTAAAGGAAAAAAGATAATTATTCAAACACCTGGTTTTAGCGTCATCGGTTTTGATAATTTTTTTTAAAAGATGATAATAGCATAGTAACTTCAAAGATAACCTTATATTCTCAGTCATAGGGTCTTTTTTACCGTAACAAAAATGTGCCAATGATAGACATGAATCATGAATGTTACGAGAGCGTTCAAGGTCGATCTACAATTTTGGAATACTTGTATTAACGTCTACTAATATTTTGACTTTAGTTTCATAATCTGTTAAGTTATTTATAAAATACAACTTAAAAATATACTTTTATATAATTAACATGACGTTAGCTTTATACTTTTTTTTAAATCAAAAGTACTGAAGTATTCTACATTCATGATCATGTGAAACGGAACGCAATTTGTGGTGTATTATGTCATTATTATTTTTTATCTGTGGTTGTAGCCGATAGCCGCCAACCGGCTAATATATTCACCTGCAAATGGTTATTATTGTGTTAAAATTAACTTATAAAAGTTAATTCGCGCATAAGTGTTTTGGGAAGAAATCGTGTATAAATAAAAATGTTAGGTACATTATCTACAAGACAAATTATTCTTATCGAATCGTAGATAAAAAATAATTAGTTGCTGGGTGGAAATATTGTTACAGGTCATACTTATTTATATGCGGTAAGTTATCAATTCATAAAATAAACTAATTAAATTCTTTCACTTTATAAAGTTAAAATTTGTCTACCGATGTGAAAAATGTCACCAAAAACATAAAACTTTTTAATCATCAGCTATGCTTCCTGAGGCTATAAAACAGTGGCTGGTGACATGGCTGGAGGAACACCGCGAGCTGGTGGTGCTGGTATTCTGCCTGCCCGCCAGCTTCCTCTTCACGTTGCTGCTGCAGGCCAGAGCCTGGTTGCGGCGGCTGGGCACCGGCCCTGACCATGACACCGCCGTCAAGGAGATACAGAGGAGGGTAAGATGTACCCATAGAAGACACTTCCACTATTTTGTGGATAGGAAGACTATGATTTGTTTAAGTATATTGTGCCCTACACGATATTTTTATTTTAATATTGAGAAGCATGCAACATTGTATATTTCCAGGTTCAAGAATGGAACAAGTTGCCATTAGAAGAGCGTCGTCTGCTGTGCACCGCGAGACCCAACTGGCTGTCTCTATCGACGACGTTCTTCCAGAAGCACCTGCACCACCGCGTGCCGGTGCCGCTGTACGACATCCTGGAGCTGGACGAGCGCGCCATGACGGTGCGCGTCGCGCCCATGGTCACCATCGGAGACATCACCGACTATCTCATACCGAAGGGTTACTCTTTAGCCGTGACTATAGAGCTGGTAGACGCCACTTTAGGAGGTCAGTTCATGACTATCTTTGCAGTAGAGTATTCTGCAAACTTGATTTATCATATGAGTTTGTTGTTTGTAGGTCTCGCGATGGGCACGGGGATGTCGACCCACTCGCACAAGGCCGGCCTCTACCACGAGACCATCACCGGCTACGAGGTAGTGCTGGCCGACGGCGAGCTGGTCACCGCCACCGCCCACAACCAACACGCAGACCTGTACAAAGCGCTGCCCTGGTCGCACGGCAGCCTCGGCTTCCTGGTCGCCTTGACATTGAGGATCGTCAAGGTCAAACCCTACATCAAGATGAAGTATACTCCAGTCACGGGGCAGAAGACATACTGCGACATTATCAGAGATCTTTCTGGCGCTAATTCCGCAAACCCCGCCGTGCACCCTGACTACATTGAAGGGACCATCTTCAGCAAAGACAGTGCTGTCATCATGACCGGAGACTACTCCGACTACGAGCCGCAGCTCCCAGTGAACCACTGCTCCAGGTGGTACAAGCCCTGGTTCTACAAGCACGTGGAGTCATTCCTCACAAAAGGAGAAGGCGTGGAGCTGATACCTCTGCGGGACTACCTGCTGAGACACAACAGAGCCATCTTCTGGGTAGTCGAGGACATGTTGTCTTTCGGAAACGATCCTATTTTTAGAACTCTATTCGGTTGGCTCCTGCCGCCGAAGCCAGCCTTCCTCAAATTCACCACGACTCCTGGAGTACGAGCGTATACCTTCACCAAGCAGGTGTTCCAAGATATAGTTCTACCTATAACTGAGCTGGAGAAGCAGATCGAAGTCGCCAGTGTGCTGTTCGAGAAGTTTCCATTGTTGGTGTATCCGTGCAAAATTATTGACCACGGTCCATCGTCGGGCCAGCTCAAACATCCCCATAAGAAGTATCTAGTTCCGGGAACTAACTACGCAATGTACAACGATTTAGGAGTTTATGGTGTACCGGGAAAAGTGAAAGAGAAGAAATCTTACAACCCCGTAACTGCTATGAGGGAAATGGAGAAGTTTACAAGAGAAGTTGGAGGTTTCTCTTTCCTGTACGCCGATATCTTCATGACTAGAGAGGAATTTGAGGCAATGTTCGATCTGACGCTGTATGAGGAGGTGAGGAAGAAGTACAAAGCGGAAGGCGCTTTCCCACATTTGTATGACAAAGTGAAACCAGAGCTGGACGTGTTCGCTATCGGGGAGCAGAATGCTATATAATGCTTCAAAAACATCTATCACGACTTCGTCCGCGTGAATTTAAAAAAAAAACAATAATAAATATAGCCTATGTTACTCAGTGATAATATAGCTTTTGGAATGCTGAAAGATTTTTTTAAATCCACCCAGTAGTTTATGAGTTATTTCAATACATACAAAAATACAAATATTTCCTCTTTATAATATTAGTATTGATATAGATTAAAAAAAAATAAAAAGTACAAAATAGATGTGGTTTTTTTATGAACCAAGTGGCTGTAAGTGTAAAGGGGTGGTATACCTTGAGGTTGGAGATGTGTCGGAAGACGAAGGGGTTGTTGACGGCGATCTGGCGGCGGATGCGGTCGTTCATGGCGTTGACGTAGGTCTGGTAGACCGCCATGCACTTCTTGGCGAGCGACGACGCGTAGTAGATGGGGATGTCCTGCAGCTCGGGGTGCAGCGACCAGTACTCGTCTGCACACAAACTTTATGCTAACACTAATGCCCTATTTCCTTATTCGTCAAAATATCAAAGCAAACATTACCTATATACGCTTAAATTTTATGAGTCTATATTTCCTTTAGTATTATAAATGTCTATGGACATCGATTATCACTTCACTGTTTCTGCTGCTCATTGGCCCCCATTTCTTATCTTACTGACATAAATGCAAAAGTTTACATGGATGGACGTTTGTTAGAGTTTGTAGCCTAAACTACTGAACAGGTTTGGATAAAATTTGCCATAGATGTAGAGATTAGTCTGTGGGAACATATATGCTACTTTGAATCCAGGAAATAGTTACGATTCCTATGTAATGTAAATAATAATTTTGCAATTCAATACATGTTATTGAAATTTGACAGAGACATAAAACAAAGTTTAGAGTAACACATAATGGATTCATCCCCTAAAATAGTGAGGTTCCCGAGGGAGAGTTTTGGAAGTGGCGCATACCGAGTATGAGCAGCAGCTCCTGCGCGCGGCCGAGCGCGAACACGGGGATGAGGCAGCGGCCGCCGCGCGACACGATGTCGCTCACCAGCCCCGTGAAGCGGCTCTCGCGCTCCTCGCGCTTCTCGTGGATGTGCGTGCCGTACGTCGACTCCTGCGCACGCGCACACAACACTGCACCACATGCACTTGCTTCGGCAGGACATATGCTAACACTATACCACTCTTCTTAGTACGTGATATACATCTTGTTTCTTATTCCATCAAAGATAAATAGAATACGAGTGAATGGGTATTTTTTGGATAGAGCATACCATATTTCGACCACATCTTCACTTTCAGTAGGTGGGATCGTGGTGGTCAAGCCCTAGCTTAAAAACTTAAGAAAAAGCATATATCTAATATGTTACAAAAAGAGATAGAGCATCGGCGGTTTAGAGGTTTAAACACTTGACTAGTAATCTAAAGGTGTTGAGTTCGAATCCCAAAATACATTAATGTGATTTTCGATTCTCGAATTTGATATGTAGTTAATGTACCCGTCGTTCGATAGACGGTAAAGGAAAACAACATGATGCACCCTGCATCTATAAGCAAAAAAATTCAAATATATGTGTGAAGTCAACCAACTCACAGCGGGCTTAGGAAAGGCTCAGAGCCCCTCAATAGGAACTTGTACTGAGCTGGTGATAAAAAAGAGGCAATAATTATGTGTATGGCAATACTGTAACACCGCAAACGAGGCGAATGTTCAAGTGATGTACTTACCGTGATAAGGACGTCGGGATGTACTGTAGGAATCTCAGCCGCCATTAGATGACGATCTTCTTGTCTAGAGAAGTCCCCTGTGTAAAGAATCTAAAAGAATGCATATTTTAAATATAAAAACTAAAACTCTTAGTTTTACAGTAGTTTCAGTAGTACCTGTAGAAATGATAACTTGCCTTATAATAAACTAGATGTTCCCGTGCGGCTTCATCCGCATGAAATTATAAAAACTTTATTTTATTCTTTACATTTGTCAAAATACCAATTACCTTACTATGGCAATTTTGCTTCCTTGATGTTGGCAGCAACTTATGGTCTCTTTCCCACATTAGGGTTTTCATCCAAAATATTTACCCCTTAAGTTTAATAGCGTGAAAATATATAACCTAAAGCATGAGGTATGTGTAGGGCTTTTTATTTAAAAAATCAAAAATATGCTGTAATTGCTGATATCTTAGACAACAAAGAAGTGTGTCTTTACACTTTATTATAATAGTATAGAAATATAGATTAATCAAATGAGTTGGTCAAAAATTTTCTTGTAACGTAAAAATATTGGTGTAAAATCAAGGAATTTGACAAATTTCGTTGTCTAATGGATTTTTATTATCCCGTCGGTTGCACAACTCACTACTATCGAATTGGGTATTTGTAAAATAATTCTGAAAGTGTGACAGCGCAGCGCCCCGCCTGTACCTTGACCCCGGCAATCTGTATCATGAACATGGCGGCGCCGAGCACGTGGCCCGCGTTGTACGCCCAGAAGCGCACGCCGCGCACCTCCTTCTCCTCGTGGAAGTTGATGGTCTCTATGCGGTCCATGGAGCCCTCCAGGTCCGACTCCGTGTACAACATCTGCTCCGTCGATATGTTGCTGTCATCACGGACACATTTATGAAATATAACTTATAACTTCATGTAAAGTGGTAATCTAATGGCAAAAGAATTTTTGCAATTAATTCAGTTGTTTTTGATTTTTTTTCAGACATATAAATTTTTTCATAACATTTGCATATAGGTAGAGTTCTCAGTTACATTGGTTTTACGTAGTAAGAAAAATATTGGAGCCAGAAATGAGTAATTTTTATGGAGGTTTATCACTTATCACGAGTGCATTATTTGAAGAGAATGAGTAGTAACAATGTGTACTTACCTGACTTTAATATAATCGGAGACCAGCCATCTGTAAATGGCTTTGGTAGCATGTGTCATGAACACCCGGCCCTTGAATGATGTCTTTGTGAGGAACCAGGGGAGGGCACCACTGTGGTCTAAGTGGAAACTGAAATATTCACAATATTACTTAATGTTTTTATGTAAAAAACAATTAAATTCAGATAATAATGTGATATTGAATATTTCTATTTCATGATGTTAATATTCATTTTACTTACTGTGATATCAGCAGCAAGTCCACTTCATCAGCTTCAATCAAATCCACAAAAGGCAGTGCATCCATACCTGATAGGCCAGGGTGAATCCCGCAGTCCAGCTAAAAACAAAAACATGATTTAATAAATCAATAAAATATCAATGGGCCCACTATTCATAAAGAGAGAGATTATTTAAAACATTTGTTAAATATATTATTGTAAGATGAAAAGTAGATACTTACCATTATCTTTTTCCCTTTGAATTCTAACATGATACATGATCTTCCTACTTCTTGGCCAGCACCTCTAAAATAATTATTATATGTATTAAATGTTATCAATTATGTCAATAAAATATTAATTAATTAATTATGTATTAAATGTTTGGAATTATAGGTATTTGAGTGGTAAAGACGGCAAAGATAGAAGTGAAGAAGTGCCTCTTGGGATATTAGTACTAAAAATATTGTAAACATACAATTTCACAAGGATATAGATAAGAATTTCCAACAAAAATTAAGAAACCAGATGAAAGGCGTAAGAATTATATTCAACAAAATTATTTGTATTATCCCACTTTGTTATAAAATGAAATATTGAAGCAAACAAAAAAGAATATTAGAAATATTTACAATGGTCTTATAGTTAGTTGGTCGCTTTCTTCCATCGGCGCTGGGTCAGTGCCCTTTCTAGGATTTGTGGTCATTTTAGCTGTTTATTCTCATTTACGGAAAGAAAAGTATTTCGTCTTTTGTAATTTACAAAATAAAACAACACATAAACAAGCAGCGGCACAATTTGAGGTTATTAGGGAGGAGCCACGTTCTACAAAATGACAAGACCGATTGGAAAATAATAATCTAAAAATCGTTTCTTTATTCGGATATTTTTGAAGAAATGTTTTATATTCAGAATTTGTAATAATCTAAAGATAAAGCATCTTCAGTAATGGTTGTTTAAAAATGTTTGTTTGTAAATTAAAATTAAGTCATCGTTGAGTTAAAAACAAATCACATATGCTTTTGCGCGATAATTTGTGTTACAAAAAAAAAACTTAATTTGACATATGACATGTGTCAACATGTGTTGAAATCTTGAAATAGGTTATATTTTTGTTGATATGATACGTAAATTAATGAATTGATCAACAAAATGCCAAAAAATAAATTATTCGATGAAGATTCCGAAGAAGAAGTAGCAATTAAAACCGAAAATGAATACGCTAAAAGATATGATGCTTGGCGGGAGAAGGAAGAAAAATATAAATGTGAGATGTTTACTACACCAATTTTAACGTTTTGTCCGTTAAATATTTGTTTTTTAAATGTAGTATTAAATTAAATCATTTCTGTTTTCAGTAGAGCAAAAATATGGGTCCAAAGCGTTAGACTCTGATGCGTCCAGTTCATCGGATAGTGAAGACGAGAGTGATGAACCTTTGGAAGTATCTGAAGAAACTGAGACGCAGTTCCTAAAGACTTTGGCGCTTCTAAAGACGAAAGACCCGAGAATATACGACCCTGGATATAAGTTCTTTGATGAAAAATTAGAAAAGGAAAAAGGTATAAAGTTGACTACTTTAAATATAAAATAGAAACACTGCTCATATTGTTGTAAGCTGAACTCTTTACTTAATTTAAGTATCACTTAATTTATGACTCCACAAGTATTGTAAAGTAGCCATTTGTTACTTTGCCTGTATGAAATTGAAAAAAATATACAAAAACAAAGCCTATGTCACTCACAGAGAAAAGTAAAAGAATTTTTAAAATCGGCCCAGTAGTTTTTGAGTTATTTCAATACATATCAAAATACAATTATTTCCTCTTTATGATATTATATAGATGCATAAATTCCCCCAATGATGGAAAAAATAAAGAAAAGGCTGCATTTATTAATATACTGAAAACATATTTAATTTCAGAAAAGGAAGACAATATGAAGAAAGTGGTGTTCACAGACAGTGATGATGATGATGATGACAGTGGCAATATATTCAGCATTGAGAAGAAAGCTGAAGATGAGGAGAAACAGGAACAAGAACATAATAAAGTAATAAACATTGAACATTGCAAATTCCAACTTCAGAGCTAAAAGTATTTTATAAAAAGTCATTGAAACATATTGTGTTGATGTACTTTGCTAAATTGTGATTGAATATTCCAGTATTTAAGCAATTTTTCCTATTTTCCAGGATGGCAAATTAAAGGATTACCTTTTAGGTAAAGTGGAACATGTAGAAGATGATGTGGAGAAAGAACTGGCTCCACTGAAAGCTCTGTGGTCTGACCCCAAGCTTAATGAAGGAGAAGCTTTCCTTAGAGATTACATATTAAACAAAAGGTATGTTCTCTTTCTTGTTTATGGCTCTCCCTCAGCAGATTTGGCTAGTGCCAAGTGTTTGTGGTTTTACTCTGATTTGGGAGAGACTGGCAACAATACTCTGCTTTTGGAGATGTTCTTGGATGCACCAGCAGTCTTAAGATAAATGTTAAAAAGTAATTTTATAATACAATTATATGTTTATTACAGTAGAACCTTGATAAGTTAAAGTCCACGGGAAACACAAAATATTTTTAGTTATAAAGGTTTTAAGTTTTCAGGGGTCTATTTTGTGCTTGTGAGATTTTGGGCTCTGATGTAAAGGGAACATATTCTTTTTTGAAGTCAGAGAGGTTTTTAAGTTACTGAAGTTTGAGTTATTGAGGTTTGACTGTATTATTAATTTTATATCTAGAAATAATTCTATCTGATGATATTTAATTGTTGCATATAACAAATGTTAGATAAATAATTTACTTAGTTAGTAGATTATTTAGTTTTTATTAAAGAAATATATAAAAAATTTAATCATAATCTTGGTTAATCACCGGTATGTTAACTACAAGTTACTGTAATTAATTAATATTCTTTTATTTAAATGAAATGTAATATATTTTATCTATGTCTCAAATATAATGTAGGTTGAGTGTTAACTGTTCCGTATTTTACTGTACATTTGTTCCAGATATTTGGAGGAGGGTGCGGGGGAGGCGGGTGCTGGTGCGGTGGACCGGCTGCGTGATGACGCTGAGCTGGAAGCGGATGAGGAGATGGTGGAGGAGCAGGGCAAGTTTGAGCGTGCTTACAACTTCAGATTTGAAGAACCTGATGATGAATTTGTTAGTTATTTATCTTATGTCTTATGTATATTAGTTACTAGTTGATGCTGAAATATAGCCTATGTTACTCAGTTATAACATAGCTTTTTAATGGTGCAAGAATTTTTAAATCGGTTCAGTAGTTTTTGAGTTATTTCAATAAATACTAAAATAAAAAAATACAAATTTTCCCTGTTTATATTATTAGTATAGATATAAATTAGAGAAAACTACCAATTTGCTATGAATAATCCATTTTTCACAAAAGTCAAAATTATTTTCATGATATATTTAATTTTAGCAATAATATATTCGGAGTAGATATTTTTGTTGATTCGGAATCTATTTAAATAAACTAACTTCATCATCTTGTCATCATCCCGTCGATTTTATTTCAATAAATTAAACTATATAAACAATTATGTATTTACTAGCTGTTCCCATGGGATTTCATCCGCATGAAATTATGAAAATTTTATTTTATTGTTACATGTGTCAAATTATCACCTACAAATGTCAAAATGACATGACACGATGACAACCTTGCTTCCTTAATGTTGGCATCAACTTATGGTCTATTTCCTACATTAGGATTTTTATCCAAAACACCCTAGTTTAATGGCGTTAAAATATATAGCCTAAAGCGTGATGCGACTGTAGGGCTTTTTATTAAAAAAAAGATTATTCAAAAATATGGTGTAATTGCTGACATGTTAGGCAACAAAGAAGTGTGTTTACGCTTTATTACAATAGTGTGACGTATGTTCGGTGTCAGCTGAAGCGCTACCCGCGCACGATGAGTTACATCCGGCCGCGCGACGAGCGGCGCGGGCGGCGGCGCGCGGAGCTGCGCCAGCGCAAGGAGGCGGAGAAGCGCGCCAAGCTGGACGAGATCGCGCGCCTGAAGGCCCTCAAGCTCAAGGAGATCCACGAGAAGATCGCCAAGCTGAAGGAGGTCACCGGCAACGACCAGCTCGCCTTTGATGTCAGATTACAATTTTATAATTATGCATTACTAGCTTTAGCTTGCCGTCAGCGTGGAATTGAAAAAAAATAGCTTATGTTAGTCATTGATAACGTAACTTTTTAATGGTGAAAGAATTTTTGAATTCTGCCCAGTAGTTTTTGAGTTATTTCAATATTTACAAAATTACAAATCTTTCCTCTTTGTAATATTAGTATCTAGACTAGTTATCGCCCGCGACTACATCTGCGTGGAATTGAAAATAATGCAAGTAGCTCATGTGTTCTAGAATATCTTTTACATTGAGAACCGTTCAGCCGTCTAAATTTTCGCATTAGAATATCAGTAAGATCTAGATAAGCTCGACAAGTAAAGATAGAAGTAGGAGTATAACAGGACGAGGACATCGAGGGCGACTTCGATCCCGAGCAGCACGACCGGCGCATGCGCGCGATATTCGACGACCAGTACTACGGGGACACGGACGATAAGAAACCCGTCTTTCCTGACCTGGACGACGAACTGGAGATCGGTGAGGATATTTTTTTTTAATTTATTAACGTTAGGAGACCAAAGCCAAAGTGAAACGAATTGCGGTGAACTTTGGTATAGATGTAGAGGATAGCCTCACTTTTGTTTGTTTTTTTTTTTTTAATTTTAGGCGAACGGAGTCGCGGCATAAAGCTAGTACTAATATAAATGCAAAAGTTTCAAAAAATGAATGGATGTTATCACATAACTTAAAAACATTTAAAAAAAAAATCATATAATTTGGCACTGTTGCTTGCTTTTATTTTGGCCCCAACAAAGTCGCGGGTTATAACTAGTATTATACACGTCTAAAGTCATTTTGTATTTGCAGAAAATTGGGAGAAGTACGAGGGTGAGTTTGATCAAGATCACACAGAGGGTGCCGAGGAGCCGCACTGCGAAGATGACGATTTTAATGTAAGTTTTCATGACCAATATTAACTTTGATAATTCACATATTATTTGAATGTGTTTTGTAACTATTTCTCTATAAAATAATTTAGGGACTTAGTCTAATATATGTTTGGTAGATGGACGCGGATTACGATCCCAAGAAAGCGCGAGAGAATCTTCTGGAAGAGTTGACACGTGGCATGGGGAAGAAGCGGAGGAACAGAAAGAAGAAATCGAAGCTGGCGCAGCTGCTGGAGGAGGAGAAGCCGAAGTTCGTGCCGGAAGCGGAGAGAAGCTACGCGCAGTTCATGGAGGAGTACTACGGGATGGACTGCGAGGACGTGATCGGCGGAGACTTGCCCACCAGGTTCAAGTACCGGCAAGTGGTGCCCAACGACTACGGACTGTCTATTGAAGAGGTAATACATAATTATGTATATCAATAGAACAGATAATCTGTCTGGGCATTTAAAAAAAACTTTATTTTTATCAAATTAATGTCTCAAAGTAATTTTAAGAAGAAAATAGGGCAACACTAGATCTTCAGCATAGACGTCCCGTCCCTATGACAGCTGTCAATGTCATTCAGACGTATTAGAAAAGCGCGCCAATTTGTCGGAAGTTAGTGGTCTGAGTTTAGGTTAATTATATAGTTACTATTATGTTCATTTCTAATAATAATTACTCCAAAGACTAGAATCTAAAATATGTTACTAACTGTTGCTTGCGATTTCGTCTGCGCAAAGTTTTATTTTTGTAACGGTGTAAGATTTTTTAGATCACTTTAATGGAGTTTGTTATATAAAATACAAGATTTTCCTCCTTATAATAGTATAAATTACACACACAATCTACTTAATGTCGTTCTAGATCCTTCTAGCAGACGACAAGGAGCTGACGCAGTGGGTGCCGCTGAAGAAGCTGGTGAAGCACCGGCCGGCCGCGGCGGAGCGCGGCGAGGTGGGCACGTACGCGCTCAAGGCAGCAGATGTGCAGCTCAAGAGGAGGATCCTGCCCAGCCTCTTTAAAGAACTGCCACAGTCAGTATACTAATATATACTTTACTTTTACCTAACAGATTTACCCTGCAGAAATAATTGTACAAGAACATTTGTCCCCAAACTACTGAAAAATGTAAAAAAGATATAAAACTACATCCTATGCCTACATCAAATAGGTCAAATAAATGGTAGCCCTCCCTTAGAGCTAGCCTAGACGCCCATTATCTATTGTTTTATATTTTAACAGTAAAATATAGTTGCTGTTTGCATGTTAAATCGGGTTTCTCATAAATGTACTTAATTGTATTGTACTGTAAACCTTTTACACAAGTTAAATGATAATATTTTTCATAACAGAGAACCAGAACTCGTCGTGCCAGCAGAAGCTGGTAAAAAGAAAAAGAAGAAGAAGAAAGCAAAAACTAATGAAGTAGAAGACAAAAAAGAAGATGTGAAGGAAAATGGTGCTGATAATAATGACGAAGATGTTAATCAGAAGAGTAAAAAATCAAAAGAAAGTGATGTTAATTCAAAGAACGAAGAAGACGATTCGAAAACGGAAGAAGTCAGTCTAGTTGAGGAAATAGCAGAACATACAGAAGTTAAAAACAAAAAGAAGAAAAAGAAAAAACATAGAGAACAAAATGAAAATGTTCCAAATGAACCTAATGCAGATCACGAAAGTGCTGTAGAAGTAGAAGAAGGTCAAAATACAGACGCAGTGCTAAAAGAGAAAAATAAGAAACATAAAAACAACTTCACCATTGAAAATTTACCTAAAGGCGAAGAGCCCAGCACACCAAGTGATGTAACACAAAGTTTTCAATCTAAAGGAAAAAAGAATAAGCAAAAATCAACTACAGAAAAACCTGAATCACAAGGAAATAAATTGAAACGAAAATTAGAACAAAACGCGCAAGAGTCCAGCGAAGTTCCGAAAAAGAAAAACAAACCTAATAAAACAAATGTTAATAAATCTAACAAAAAGAACAAAATTAACAAGAATAACAAAAAGATCAATAAAGATGCAAAGACAGACAACCCATTGAACAAATTGTCAGACGAGAGATTGAAAGCTTACGGATTGAACCCTAAGAAGTACAGAGGGTTCTTAAAATATAAGAAATTTTAACTATCTATATTGTAAATTATAACATTATTTGTAATTATTTGTGCCCATAATTATTGTAAAATACAACAGTGCCTCTTATAATTGTGTTTTATTTTTAAATGCGCTATAAAAGTAGACAAACCTGGAGCCACAGATATGTGGAAAGAACTTCAAACAATATTAAAAACACTTTTATGCTGATCCAAGATCTTAAAATCTAAACTCATGAATCATATTTGCAATGTGCAGTTGTGAAATTTGTGGTTGTTTCAGTAGTAAAAAATAAAATGGGTAATTCAGCAGATAAAAATAATTATAGTCCATATCTCGCGACGGTTATAGCAAAAATTTGGATGGAATACCTATCAATAAACTGAGCCAACATGTAAAGTCATGGTAACCTGATTGGATTCTGTCCAGGATTTCTACAGATAGTGCAACCTTGTGCCTTAAGCAGGCTTTCTTGATTTATCGCATTTGATCATGTTTCTTATATTATAGGGAAGAAATTGAACGAACAAAAAGTTCCGTATCATACAAGTTTTCCAATGTATGGAAACCAGGTCATGTAAATTGGTCCGACATGTACTCTGATCCGTATAAGCTGGAGTGTGGCGTAAGACATGGGGTAACCCCCTTCCTTCCTTCCCTTCCCTGCTTTCTTCAACCAGTAAGTAAACGACCTGATTGATGTGCAGTCAGAATGTTTGCACACAATGCGTCAGCAGAACAGAAACTGACGAATAACCACTCGTAAGAGGCAGTTTTTTTTGGTTTTTCATTACATGGAGGGATACAAACCCAGGACCAAGGATACAAGTGTATTTATTACTTTTGAACCACTTTCAAAATTGTATTATGGGTTAAATCCTTATTTCTAGTGTTCAACTAATTAAAAAAAATCTAGTTTAGAGAAAGAATACGTGAGATTTTGATTTTAGTGTATTAGGAATATTTTTTGCTAGAAAAAAGCAATGACTGGGGAGAGGTCAAAGAAAAACACATGTACTGTACAATTATAAGTTTATTGTTTAATCTTCTTCGTCATCATTAGCAGCACCGCCGGGCTGGCCCTTGCGGAGGTTCTTCCTCTTGACGCGGCCAGGGCGGCCACCACCGAACGGAGACTTCAGCGAGAAGTCAATGTGCTTGCCAGAGTCCAGACGCACCACAAACGACGGGATGTTCACCACTTGCTTGCGCACGCTGACAAACACACACACAAATAATAATCAGTGACAATCATCTTATTCAACAAACACTTGAAAGTCTGTACAGACAATTTAATAAATGTTTATTACACTTTTCAGCGATTTTTTAGTGACAAACCACCAAATTAAAGTATACCCCTTATACAAATGCTATTCTAGTTTATCATTGCATATGACATACATTACCTGCAAACAGCTTGTAACAAGCATAAATTTCAAGACATTGAACAAAGCACAAGGCTGTTCAAGTGGTCTTTATGAATACAATTAAGTCAGTGATCAGCCGACACGCTGGTTGCAATGTTATTTGCTCAACATTTCAGCATTTCTTCAATTCCTGCATTGCTCTTTGGCAAACACTATCTGTTACAAACAGAGCATGTTTCAGAGAATCTATCAATTGATATCAAACTGTATATCAGAAAAAGGCTTTTTTTACACAAGTTATTACAATAAAAAATAAATTAATGAAGCCCAATATTCAACTCACCGAATGTGCCTCTGTCTGATCAGAATACGGGCGTGATGGATGGACTTGGCGAGACCAGCCTTGAACACCTGTGTCTGCAGCCGGCGCTCCAAGAAGTCCTCAATCTTGAGGCCCAGCACGTAATCCAGCTTCATCTGCTTCTCATCCAGCACTCCGATCCTCACCAGACGACGAAGCAATGCATTACCTGAATACAAAAAATCAATGTAACAGGAACTCTTGCATTTACATTGTTAAGGTTGATGTCTTTACATCAGTAGGAAATTTTGCTCAACACAATTTTAATCTGACAAGAGGTTGCCAAAAACTCATCATTTAAATAAATTCAATTGTATACATTTAATGGATAACGATTAGAAAAACACAATACAGCTTTAATAAAAACCAGGCTTAATGTGTTGTTAGATTTGTTATTACTTATAGTTATCTCTCTAAGGTGACTTTACTATCCCATTCCAATATATGTTTATAATAATTTGACTAGCGGTAGCAGAGCAGGCTCATTATTTTGTAAATAAACATGTTACACTAAAATGCCGGTCACACGTGGTACAACTAACCTTCGAAAAGCCTTTTAGGGTCCTTCTCTTCCAGCGTAAGCAGTTCTCTGGCAGCCTTACGGATGCGGGCGAGCGTGTACTTCACTCTCCACACTTCACGTTTGTTACGAAGACCATATTCACCAATGATCTTCAACTCCTGGTCAAGACGCGCCTTTTCGAAAGGCCGCCGCGGGGTCACGTAGGTCTTAGAGAAGACCGAGGGAACTCGGTTATTCACCATGATGGCGAGCTAGAAAGAACCAAAAGGTTAGATTTGATTGAATACTTTGATTTATTTTGTTTGTTTTTGGAGGTTTGTCGCCACTAGGTGTTGCAAGAATACATACTTCGGCCAAAAAAAGAAAAACCCTAAAGCGTTACTCTTGGGAATCAACACACGTGGCTTTATTGTAGCCTTATTGTCCATGCATGACGGCTATGGAGATCGCCATGGTCTACTGTAAGGCAAATACAAGTCTCCATTTAAATCTGCTTACATCTCAAAGACGGCAGCAAAATAACGTGCAATGTTAAAAGGTTATGAATATTAGGAAAACGTTAGGGATAAATCATTATCGATTTTATTTTTTAACTAATACAATAATAATTAAAAGTTAGTTAATATAAAAACGTACCTTCTACCAAGACCGCTCGCAGTAAAAAGAAACGTCAAGAGTGACAGATGTCTACAAAGAATATTTAACAATGACAAGACACAACTAAGTGTCAACTCGGCAAAGAGTATTGAACAACTGTCATGCGCTTTTACACCGGGCCAGTAGTTCGTCAGTAGCGCAGACTTGGTCTTAAGTTTAAATAAAAATGTATTCTGCTTACAGAATAAACTTTTATTTAAACTTTCAAATTATTTTATTATAAAGATCTTCATTTCAAACTAGATGATGATTCGTTTTGAAATATATTTTAAAATATTTCTGTTACAATATTTGAAACACCAAGAATTAATCCTTATTTCGACGAAGTTACTTGTAGCAAGAAAAACCCGGGGGTTTTAATCATATTTTTGGATACGGAATATGAATGAAGATCAGAATTGGTTTTTTTTTTAACTAGTTGTTCGTCACAACAGACACTATCGACTTACATTACTTTACTGATAGTTACATTATGTTTTAATAATTTATAACTTTTACTTTATAACTTTTTATTTTCTATTATATTAAATAACTACAACACTTTGATTATATAACTATCTAACTGTTTATCTTAAAACAAAATAATAGTACTAATAAATACATTTATGTACAATGTGCATAAACAAAAATCCCACTACACATACAGTGTGTATATTCTCTTATATGTTGATGTTATAAATTATTTTGGGCGGAATTCTCTCCTCTGCTGTTGTCTAAGCTGACATCTTTCAACTTCTCCGTCACTTCTCTGGAGCTGTCCATTTCTATTACTTGCTCTAGGGTAAGTTCTAGAATCTTCTCCAGAGCTCTGGCGGTCACTTCGGAGGGATACTTTGGTATATCTGGGACATGGACAAATAAAGTCCTTGAGTTGTCCACACTGAGCGATGTATAGTAAATGTATTCACAGAGGTACCTGAAATAAAAAAAAAAAAAACTAGCTTTAGCTTGCGACTATGTTTGCGATCGAAAAAAAAAGTAAGTAATCAGATTTCATCAAGGACTATTCAGCAGTTAGGTAACTCGTAACAAACATCCATCAAAATTTTCGCATTGATAGTATACATAATAAGTAAATAAACTAGGCATTGGGCAAGACAATTAACTTATTCTAGATTTTCTCCATAAAAAAGAATAATGACAAGAACATTACTAAATAAATGTAATAAAAATAATTTTCGTCATAATATTCTAGTAAATTTATATAATAATGCAAATGTATTAAATAAACATTACATTTATGATGTCATTTAATATGATATGTTTATTAGCACCTCAATAAAGATATCAAATTACGTGAAGGTCAAGAAAGTAATGGCTTCCCATATTTTTCTTATTTCATTATGCATTGAAATATGTTCTTGTATAAATGAATGGTTACATGATACTCTATTTCAATTAAATTTCTTATGAAGTTGACATTAAGAGTGTGGACACCTTTGACTCAACGATCTCACAACTGTTCAGTTGTAAAACTAAAAATCGAATAGTGTGGTGCACACACTATTCAATAGTATATACATAGTAATACTCCATATAAGATCATAGGAATCCTAGCAATCAGTTGTGTGACAGTTTAGTCAACGATATGCGCACATTCTATGTTGATAAACAGTTCTATATTACTATTTCAGTGTTGCAAAAACTGTAATTTATTTTTAAATGATTCATAGATAAAGTTAATTACCTTACATATTACAATTTCTTTGTATGTATATAAGCCAGTGAGAAAGATTTTACCTGCCAGCATCTTTAGAGGATATAGCGCTGGTCTCATCCATGCAGCTTCCGTTGAACTCCTTGCAGATCCTCTCCACGTTTAGCTTGGTGTGCAATCGTATAGCTCCTTCAGCTGTGCAGATGTTGTTAGGGGGACATTTCTCAAAATAGTCTTGTCTCTGGTAGCCTTTCCTGTGGGCCTGTGTCTCCAGGGTAATGCAGGAAGCCTCACTTGATACTCCTACATGGATCATGAGCTGGAAATTAGTAATAATTGTTTTTTTTATTTACAATATTATTTAATAATTGCTTTAATTTTTAATCTGTTCTCAATTTGGTAGATTTTTTGTTGTACATTGATAAAGCTGATAATAATGAGACAATTAATCTTATTCTTTTTTGTTTGATGCAAAATAGCTGCCTTTTCGTCCCAAATTTTTTGTAAATTACAAGCTATCTAATACTTTTTGAGATGTTCTTAATAACATACCAAAAAATCGGAATTTGTCTTTAAGCTTGAATTCAGTTTTGATATTTTGTTATTAATTTATAACAAACTAGCTAATGCCCGCGACTTTGTCCGCGAATAGAAATCCGGACATTTCTCAGGGATGAAACTTATCTCATGCGTACTCCAGACTTTGTTTTATATCTGTGTCAAGTATCAATAATATATGTTGAACCGCTGCAGAATGATCAAGTTAACATTAAAAAACTAAATTAATGAATCCCACGGGAACCATAACTATTCCAGGGATAAAAAGTAGCCTATGTGTTCTTCCAGACTATGCTCTAAACCAGTGCCAAATTTATGGAGATCCGTTCAGCCGTTTAGGCTACAAACGCTAATAAACATCCATCCATCCATCGTAACTTTCGCATTTGTAATATTCATATGATGGTATATGTTTAAAATGGGTATACTCCTGTTAAAATGTTATCAGAGTTTCATACATTGAATCTTTGTGATAACATATCAGAACATGTAATCTCCAGTACATCTGCAGGACAATAGCTATTGTTAATGTAAACATTTCTACAATGCATGTTCTCATAATCTGTTATTAACCTCATTACAAATCTCATATTGTCAATAGTTAACACATTTCCATCACAAAGAAACAAATCTATTGTCAAAAATAAGGAAAATAGGGAATTCTATAATCATCATCAGCAGCTCACTATACATCCCCGATAGGGTCTCGGAGCCTACCCTAAGAAAGGGTACCCTAATTTAATAATATCTAATGAAAATTATTGTATTTTAGTTTTTATTCTTAAAATTTAATGCTCGTAATTTTTGCACAATGCCAAAAACCGGAAGTACTTTTCACTTTGTTATTTAATTATTTTAAAGAGATTAAGAAGTGTGGAAACTTGTTTTTGTATTATATTTAACAGTGGTCACAGTATGGATGGATGTTTGTTACTATGTATCTCAAGAACAGCCTAACAGATCTCGATTAAATTTGTCACAGATGTAGAACATAGTCTAGAAACACTTGCTTACTTAGTTTTTTAATTCTCCGAGGATTTTTGAAATCAACTAACTTTAACTGAAATTTTAAAACAATGTTGGTAAACTATAATTCTAATCACAATAAGTGCAAAAAAATCTTTACTGTTACAAAATTAAAAATGCGTTGTATATTTTTAAATTGCGAGAATGACAAAGTTTAACCTTAGGTGTATGCGTTTCCCACAGCGCCGGCACGAATTCGTCGACATTTTCATAAGTAACTGGAATTTCTAACAGGACCAATTCGATATTGTGTTTTGTCTCCAACATCTCCTTATTAATAAGTTTTACCGCCTCCCAGCTTGCGTTTACTGGATGGTTTAAAAATGGTCCGAAGCCGGTCACCAAAACCAATGGTTTAAACAGAAAATCTAAGTCGTTAGACATGACTATAGCTTTAAAGTTGTAATATCTTTAGTACAAATGTAAAAAATATTAAACCAGCAAGTGTGCGATATTTAATTAAAAAGTTCTAACGAGATTTAAATACAAAACACAACTGACAACAGTTCGAGTTTTGATAAGATTTGACATTTGATAATAGCCAACAAGAATAAAGTCAGCTGATTATCTTTATAAACATTGCCACTTCTTGGATCGGATTCTCTATGGTATTATATTATTTTCATTAATTTAAGATTTAACGATGTGTTTTTCTTAATAATTAATCAACTAGAACTAGTTTAGGATAATAGGAATGTATAAAAGCACCGAAATGGTAATTGTAATAGTTGTTTTTATGTTTTCTCGGTCAAAACATCCGTACAAAAGATTTTTCCATCTCAGTTTTTGCAGGGAGAATTAGAGAGATACCATAACAATCAATGTAGTTTAATGTTTCTGTAACGAAAAGAAATAAAAAAGAAACGAGAATAATAAAGAGGAAGTAACAATTAAAACATTATAACACTGAATCATCAAAAAACGATAATTTATTAAACAGCTTAGCAAATATCACCAGTTATGCTATTAATATCACAAATCACAATACACCTAGTTTAATAAAACTATTTACAACTCCGTTTAATCTGGATTTCGCAAGATCGTTGGGTTTTATGAAGAAGTCTGAGATTTCGCCGGTCTCCATGCTTGGCGCGTTTTCCGCATCAACTGTTAGTAGAGGCACCATCATCATGCCCACGAAGATACCGTATGGTTCGATCTGGAAATACAACTTTTCTTATTAAAAGTATCTCAAGCACCGCATCATAATGCATTTGCTCAAAATAATAAATAAAAAATACAACTTTTAACACATTTCGAAGAATAACCGTGGGATCATGATAACGTGTTGCGGACAAAACTGTTGAAAATATGGACAGCACTTTTAAGAAGCAGAATTAAATTTTTTGACAGAATGTTACATGGAGAAATTAAGCATTGTATTAAGTAGGTTTAACAAAAATATTTGCCTTTCACATACTGAATTAGGGTCATACAAATGCAAAACTTGTTCTTTCATTGGTCAAGCTACGTTTGGAGGAAATGATGAATTTTATCTTTTTTATGGCATCTGGTCATACGGTGCCTATGGCATCAAGCAAGTGGCCACTGGCATTCGCCAAATTAGTGAAGTGACCTCTGTCAATACACATTGTGATTTGCAGATGCATTGTCTATCTTTAAAAAAAAGAGATGGGGACGCACAGAAAGTGGATATTTCCCATACCTATGCGTCCTCTCCTCACCATCACCCCTAATCACTTAACTTTTTTTAAGTTTACCTCTTTTATATCTTCGTCGAAGGCTTCTTTCGGGTATGTTTTGATAGGATCTATATCCAGCCTTGTCAGGGCGTTAGATAACTGTTCGTGATAATAGTCCAAGAGTTGGTGGTAGTGCTTGTCACGGAACTCCTCGTCGGAGCCACCGAATATGTAGTACATCAGGTCATGGGCCGGGTTGGCAATCTTCAGCATCTGGTAATCTACGGCCACCAGCTCCAATCGACCGTCCTGGAAATATATTAATTAATGTTATTAACAATTTAATAGGGCGGAAATAATTCGTCGTTTTTTCATAAATAAAACTACGTTATATTACAAAGTATCCTTAGAGTAAAATATACAGAAATGTACTAAGGACAAAACATGGTAATTTTGGAATAAATTTTTGTATCAATATGAGTTTTTTTGTCGATGTACTTTACGCCCTTTTAGGGGCGCTGATCAAATCTAAAACTAACGTCACTGATGCTAAGAATATTTTCTCACTCGTTCTATGTCATCTGTACTTATGAAATAAATGATTATCAAGTTAGATGACGAGCAAAAAGATCGTTCTCGGTAATAAATAACTTAAAACTAAAATTATTTTGTAATTAAGGTTATGTACATCTACCGGATATATTTAAACTGTTTTTTCCTTATCGTAGTACTTATAAGTAGTTATAAAGATAAGGAAAAATACCCATAACTTATTTGAACTTATAAGGTTCTGTTTGTCAGCACCAAATACGTATAGTCATCTATATCTATACTTTTATAATAAAGCACAAACACACACTTCTTTGTTGCCTAAGATGTCAGCAATTACAGCATATTTTTGAATTATCCTTTTTTTAATAAAAAGCCCTACACTTCCGTCGTGCTTTAAGCTATATATTTTCACGTTTAATTTGACAAATGTAAACAATGAAATAACATTTTCATAATTTCATGCGGATGAAGTCGCATGGGAACAGCTAGTTTGGTCATAAATGTAAAGCTATTTATTGACATAGTTAAATAAAATTATGCCAATTCATAAATATTCTTTCGTCGGTGTTTTACAATTTTTATCATTTATTAGCGGTAAAAATATTTTGCTAACTTCGATAACCTTTGCTTGCTCTTTATTAAAAAATCCGTGAATACGAAGCAACAATCTTAAACACGACGCTGTTTTATATTTAAATATCGTTTCAGTATTCGCCCTTAGAGTTAGTGACGCTTTTAAGATTAAAGATATTAGATATTGCAAATAGCAAAACAAACATAAAACTACAGTAACGTCAATAAACAGCACTTAAAGTAAACAAGTTGCACCAATGACTTTTATTGCAACATTGTTTGTAAGAATTTATAATAATCTATGCCATAAAGTTATTGATTAAAGCATTTCATAATAGCAAATTTTAAAATTATTTTTATTATATCTCATAGATAAAATCATATTTTTATGTTCTTATAAAAACAACATAAAAATATGGTAAAAAAAACCACATTGTTAACGATGACAACATTAAAAATAAATACAGCTTGTCCGAAAACAATCGTAACTGTATTTCTTACCTCACGGACTCTGTGCATCAAGTTGCTAGGTCTGAAGTCCCCGTGTATTACCACCGGGCAATTCAACGGTCTATAATAATGAGTGTATTTAAGATCTTTTGTCGTTAGGAGATATGCCTCTAATCTCCCTCTATTCTCTTCTTTGACTACGGACAACGCTGTCCGCGTCATATTCTCCATCATTGGCTTGAAGTTCTCCGAATCCATTTCAAAGGACAACATATCGGCTAATGCTTTGTACTCATCCGGCTTTTCTTTGCTAAACGCGATGGACAGAGCGTGGAATTTTGCAAGTTCCACTATAGATGTCGCCGCGTATTCCCAATCAAAACTCTTAAATCTATCGTGAATATCAAAGCCGTGCGAGGATAAATCTTCCAGAACTAGAATCTCTTTCAAATATTCTTTATTGCAGCCGTAAAATTTGACAGTGGCCAGTCTGTGTTGCTTCGGTACATTATGTTTCTCTTCCAGGTCCTGGTAGTGCTTAAGAAGCTCCGTGTAGAAGTACATTTCAGTTTCGAACATTTTAAACGGTGTCTGCTTTCGTATGTGCTCTCCTACGGAAGCAATTTTGGCGAAGAGTTTGAGGTCATCTTTGGTAGATGCAGAGATTGTGATGTGGTACAATTGTGATGTGTAGTTGGCCCCTCCCGTTGTAAAGGACTTCAGTTCGATGAAAGGGTTTTCGTAGCCCTGTTCATCGGCGATCTTCTGCACCAGGTCGCGTACCAGCTGCTCCGCGTCCGACATGTTGCGGGTCACCGTCCGCACTGAGCTAAATTTATTACAAAACAAACTATGTCGTAATCGGTTTTACACCGCGACGTGACGACTCGGATATTGTGTTATAACAATCTTTTTATAGCTTTTATTATGATATTTAGCTCTTAAAATTGATTATCGTTATCACAACTGTTCATAGTTTTAAATAATGTCAACAGTTATCTTATGATTATATCAGAGAGAATTGAGTAATATACCATAGAAAAATATGATAACGCATTGAACGTGGCACATTTAATTTCAAATAAAGTAGTTAAATCCCAATTACAGACACTGTGAATGCCTAGTTTTTTCGGAAATAGTTAAAGATGTAACAAACCAATACGGTATGAACTTGTAATACCATATCGTGCCCGTATCGTCGCATGTAAATGTCTTGCGGATGTAAACCTGTCAGAATTCGGTTCTTTGCGAGATCAACAAGTTAATATTCACACTGACAAATAAAAAAAAGAATAACAAATGTAAGAAACTTCGTATCGAAACAGATACATTCAATATTGCTTGTTTGCGAAATCATATCAGACTGAGCAGTTAAGTGGTAATTAACGATATGCCGACATTCTAGATTATAATAAATCTTTATTAGATTATGTGGAAAATAACTATGTTTGATGTAAATAATATAATTTCAATAAAAATAGAAACATTTTTATAATTGGCATTTTATGTTGTGTAATTGTTGTGTAATTGTGTAATGCGGCCAGTGTTCTGTAATTCTAAAGTTTATATTTTAAGAATTCACTAGAAGAGTTGGGAGAGCTTGTCATAACTCAGAATCCAGAGACTTTGTCGTTTGGTAACCAAATTGTTTTAGTTTGTTTTTTCAAGAAATTAAATTGCTTAAAATGGTATTGTGTGTTTATTTGTTTAATTAAAATCGTAATGATACGCAACATACGTCTTTTATTTTTCATTCGTAATCGCGGTGAATAAATTAAAATAACTCTTAGTGCGTGCGTACACCTGAAATTAAACAATCGCACAACTGATTACTTTCACTTTGATTCATATGAGCTTATATGGTACACTACTCGATACAGTTGTGCAACTAAACAGTTTAATTGGCTGCGAAACAATCGTACAACTGTTGTGCGACAGTTTAGTCAAAGGTGTGCGCCCTCTCTTATCCGATAATAATAGTTATGTTAAAAGGAGTTTATCTTGGGTTAAAGTTCACTGGACATTCGTAACGAAATGGCAAGTGGTATATAATAGAAGAGCCACTGTCAGTCATTGTGAACGTCGGTGATTACGGCGGTCGTTGAGGCACGATTCCGGCGGCCATTTCCTGTTTTTATACCTTTAGAGATGTTATCTATGTCGACAATTGTCATGATATAAAATTATCTCGCACATCCGCATGAATCCACATCCAAAATGTCATGCCATGAATGAATGATCCGAATGAAAACACTTATAAAAACCTGATTTTATTGATTGATTTTTTTAAAGTTTAAATTGCAAATGTCAAAATTCAAATGCACAAATCAAAACGAAAGCCGTTGCAAATTACCGTTACTATGGTAATCTTGCTTTTTTGCTGCTATTGGCTTGTAGTTTTGTTCCATTCCCGCGTGAATTTTTTTTTTAATTCATTCACCACCAGAATGAAAGGCTTTTTATTTAAAAATAGTTATTCAATAATATGCTGTGATTGCTGACACACTACATAACAAAGAAATGTGCATACATTTACTCTTTATTATATTAGTTTAGTAGATATTAAACTATAGATATAGAATAAATTGTTTATATAGTTTAAAAAAACTAACAGTAGTAACTGTTGTTGAAATTTTGTACCACTTAAAGCGTGGCATTTTTAAATTGGCCAGTCTCTGACATCCTATCTGTCTAATATCGCGCGAGAATTTTCATGGTCATAATAATAATTGTTGATACATTATAATAATATAACACTTTATTAGTACATTTTGCACGAGTTAATTATTACATATAAACACTTCTTGTACATATTACGCCGTAACATTTTTACGTTATCAAATAATAACCTTCAATATATGATAGTCATAAACAACAATATTACACAGTCTTTCGCAACTATAAATGTTTTGAATGGTAACTTAGAACTTTAAATAATTATTGTGTAAGATATCACAGTATGCCCCAACTAGCAGTCTTCTACGAGGCCGTTGAGGCGGGCAATAGCGAGTTGGTTAGGCGGAATAGCGAAGTGTGCGAGGTCGCCAGTAGCAGTGCTCATGTCCGGCGCGTCCTCCTCAAGCACAGTCACCATGGGAACCATCATCAGGCCCACGAAAAGACCGTACGGCTGGACCTGTAAACATAACATTTATTTAAAGCAGAAAACAACAATTACAAGATGGAACGAGTTTAAAACCAAATCTCGATTTTTATTAAATTGAAACTATATTTTTTAAATATGATATGTAGATTCAAAAGAATTTGATATTTTTAATCCTTGAAATATTTATCAATTATTTTTCTAGAAGTATGAAAAAGTATTAAAGAGACGTAGGCGCTAAAAACTTGTCCAATAAATTATGTGCCCACCTCTTTTAAATCGGCTTCAAAATCCTCTTTAGAGTATGTAGTATTGACGTCGACGCCCAGTCTTGTGAGAGTGTTGGATAATTCGTTGTGATAGTGATCTAACAGAGGGTGGTAGTGCTGCTTGCGGAACTCCTGGTCTGAGCCGCTGAAAATGAAGTACATGAGGTCGATGACCGGGTTGCTGATGTTCAGCATCTGATAGTCCAGTACCACGACCTCTAACTGCCCGCCCTGGAAACAATTTTAAGGATTCTGAAGTTTCTTATATAAAAAAACGTTGATATAGTGTTCTATAACATTCACTTAGCTGATCATAGGTTGATTAAATACCACTTTAGTTCAATGACAATAATATTAACTTCAACAGCAGTTTACAATGACATGCTGTTATAAGGCTGTTCCGAGTTAATTGGTATTTATTATTACCATAACTACATGCAAATTACATAGTTCCAGATACTGTTACGAAACAATACCAAAGTATCTTGACAATTTTTACTGAGTTGTTGTAAAGTATAACCTTAGTAATTATTGCAAGAATTATTCTTTAAAATACAATTGTGTAGGTGTAGTTTGTTATTTGTTATAAATATTTGGGGTGCGCGATGTGGTTTTGTGGTGACCTATAGCATGTACCTATCGACCTCCATTGCAGAGATCAAATTTCGTGCGTATTCCTGATTGTTTTAAAAATTATTATACACTGTTCAGTTATCTACAAGGCCATTCATAGCCTAAACGTAGAATACAAGAGAGTGGCGATGTACATTTACTTTCTTTTAAATTTTATATTTTTTCTAACAGAAATTGGTGGGACTAATGTTCATTAGACTTAAATGAAATCGTTTACCTCACGCAGTTTGTGCATAATGTTGCTGGCCCTGAAGTCCCCGTGCATTATCACTGGCTGATGCTGCACTTTGTAGAAGTAATCGAACTCATATTCTTTGGATTTCTGGATAAAAGATTCCAGTCTTCCTCTATTCTTTTCTTTTATCACCGCTAACGCCATGCTTATTACCTTCTCTATCATCGATTTGAAGTTTCCTGCTTTCATCTCATATTTCATTTGTTTATACAATCTTTCGAACTCCTCAGGATTGTGTTTGCTCAAAGCCATGGATAATGCGTGTAATTTAGCCAGTTCTGTGACCGCTTTAGAAGCGTATTCCCAATCGAATGTTTTAAATCTGTCATAGCTCTCGTATCCCTTGAAAGATAAATCTTCTAGGATTATAATTTCTTTTAAATACTCCTTCTTGCAGCCGTAGAATTTGACAGTCGCTAGTCTGTGCTGTTTCGGTACGTTATGCTTTTCTTCCAAGTCTTGATATCGCTTTAGCAAATCTGTGTAGAAATACATCTCCGTGTCGTATATTTTGAATGGTGTTTGTTTACGTATATGCTCGCTGACGCATGCTACTTTGGCGAATAGGTTTATGTCATCTTTGTCTTCAGCTTCGATTGTAACATGATACAATTGGGATGTGTAGTTTGCTCCTCCTGTTGAAAACGCCTTGAGAGTGATGTTGCAATCGTTGTATCCTTGTTCTTCTGCGATTCTTTGTACCAGATCTCGCAACTCTTTTACGTCCGACATCTTGCAGCTCTAATTCGCACTGAGCGAAACAAACCACAAACTAATACATTGCGAGAGGATATGTGAGCGGACGTACTTGTGACGTCATCGTTGCACTCAATGCATCTTGTTTATTCATAGCTACGAACTAGTGTAATGCAACGATATCAAACAGTGCGAAATGAAACATTTTGAATAATGGTTTTACTAATTTTTGTCAGTACAACAAAACAAACGCATTTAAAATAAAACACAAAACTTTAAAAATATATCTTTATTGTACAAAATAGTCTATAACACTCCCAACTTAATGTAGTCGTTAACGATACCGTTGATCCTTTCGACGGCGACGGTGCCGGGACGCACCAGGATGTCGCCAAAGCTGCCTGACTCCAGACTGGGCGCGTCCTCCGCCGATACAGTCATCAGGGGCACCGTCATCATGCTCACGATTAACCCGTATGGCTCGATCTGTCCGCAAACATACTTACTTTATCAAAGAGAATGACAGAAAACAGAAATCTTAACTTTATTTCCCGCTATTTTACACGGTTAGGCCTTCTCATACCCCAGTAAGTACACCTGGATAACTGAGGGAATCATTCGTCAAATGCATGTACTATAGGCACTAACAAGTTCAGACACAATGTTTTCTTGTGTCGAAGTCGAAGGAAGCAGTAGAAGTGTCTTTAGGGTATTTTAAAAATTAAATCAAATAACTAAATCTTACTATCTATATCTTACCTCTTTAACATCGGAATCAAAATCCTTTTTGGGGTAAGTAGTGAGAGAGTCGACACCTAGCCTGTCGAGAGAGGCGGATAACTCTGCGTGGTAGTAGTCGAGCAGTTGGTGATAATGCTTCCCGCGGAACTCCTCATCAGAGCCGCTGAATATGAAGTACATCAGGTCGATGACTGAGTTGGATACGTTAAGAATCTGGTAATCCAGAACCACTAGCTCCAATTTACCATCCTGAAAAAAAAAGATATTTTACAATGTGTTCAGCATTGCTGGTTGTTGATGGGTTCTTATTTAACATGTCATTTTATCAGTGATATTTATTTAATGCTTTATTTTGGTAACGCACTGCGATAAGGATTAGATAATAAAGATATTGCTTACCCCTTGTACTCTATGCATGAAGTTACTCGTTCTAAAATCTCCATGCGCAATCACCGGCTGGTGCATAGGTCTGTTGAAGTGATCGACTGGAAAATCTTGAGCTTTATCCATGAAAGCCTTTACCCTGTCTTTGTTCTCTTCTTTTACAATTTCAAGTAACATTTTAGTCGCAGCGTCCATCATTGGTTTCATGCCTTCTAGTTTCTTTCTATCAAGAGTAAATTTTTTTGTGATATCCTCGAACTCTAGCGGCTTCTGTTGGTGTAGTGCAATGGATAAAGCGTGAAATTTAGCCAGTTCCCGAATCGCTGTTGACGCGTACTCCCAGTCAATTAGCTGATGTCTCTGGAATGTCCCAAAACCTTTAGAAGTTACATCTTCAAAGACGAGTATTTCTTTTAAAAATTCCTTTTTGCAGCCATAAAACTTGACAGTCGCCAGCCGGTGTTCCTCTGGAACTTTGTGTTTCTCTTCCAATTCTTGATATTGCTTTAACAAGCTCGTATAGAAGAACATTTCGGTCTCAAACATATTGAATGGCGATTGTAAACGTACCTCCTCGTTAACGGAGGCTACTTTAGCAAAAAGCTTTAGGTCGTCTTTGCCAGGTGCGGTGAGAGATACATTGTACAATTGAGAAGTGTAGTTAGCTCCTTCCGTAGAATATGATTGAAGTTTCATATCGCAGTTCTTGTAACCGTGCTCTGCCGCGATTGTCTCCAACAGTTCTTGTAAAACGTGATCATTGTCCGACATGATGCCCGTTTTAGGTGCTCTGAGTATGATTGGTTTCGAACGACTGCGGTGTTTGCGACGCTGCGGCTGTTTTTGTACCAAACTCAACGTAGGAATAGTTATCTCATACAGAAATTCACTTTTCATTCTTAAAAGATAAGAAACGCGGAAAGATAACTTTTGTGACATGCTCGTATTGTACATTGTACTAAGTAAAATAAAGCTGAATTAACAAAGACTCTTGAGAGATGGAAAAGGACATCTTGTACAAAACTCTACCGGTACACGACAGGGAACTTAAGTAATCCTAATAACAAATAGTAGACTGGGGTTTTAATAGCGTGAAAATATACAGTCTAAAGCGTATCGTCAGTATAGGGCTTTTTGTTAAAAAAAAGAATTATTCAAATTCTTGTTTAGCAAGACATGATTGTATTTTACACTGTGGTCCAAATGATGGTAATGGTGTCCATGACGTAATCTAAAAGAAAATAATATTGTCTATATTAAATTCATAATTATTACTAACAAATAAAATAGTTTAAATAATCAATTTATTAGGATACTGCGTTATTTATTTAGCCAAATTACGATAAAGAAATAGTTAATGAATAAAAATAATATTACAAAAGTGTTTCAATTGTTATTGATGATAATTTATAATCTTTATTAAAAAAAATAACAATCATCACTCCAAGCAAGTAATGTGCCGTTGCCATTTTGATAACAACATTACAAAATAAATGGATTATAAAAATATAGTGACTCAATAACTAATGAATCATAGTAAAATACGATATTTAAGTATAACATATTAGGTAGCGTAAGCCGAGAAAAGTTAAAGTTTATTGATTTTTTAACGCTGGCGTCCAGAAACACGCGGTTTCTTAATAGTTCCTAAAAGTTAGTAATAATATAGCCTATGTTAATCACAGAGAAATTACCTCTCTAATGGTGAAAGAATATTTAAAATCCGTCCATTAGTTTTTGCGTGAATCAAATACATACAAAATTACAAATCTTTCCACTTTATAATAGTATAGACTAGTATTTATGGCTTTTATTTTATTATTATTATTTTTTAGCCTAGATAATTTTCCAGAAAATATACAAAACGTCATTTGCTACAAACTAACAGTAGTAATATCTTTTTGCCACTATTTTAAGTAACATTTATATGTACATACTAGGAGACTATAATAAGAGGAGACAATTCAATACGAAGAACTATTTATTCACTTTAATAATTATAAACTTAAACCGTGGCAACCCTATCTCTTTCAAAGTTTTGGTGAGGCAACCCTATACCATTGTGTTAGGAACATTAATATCTTCATTTTGAGTATAATTTCATGAGGAAATTCGATAAAGGTAATTAGCCTCTATTTTGTCGCCATTGAATAGCTGGCAACCCCTACTCTTGCCAGGAAAAAGATAGGCAACCCTACCTTAGAGTAATATTTACGTTACGTACTATCGACTGGTGACAAAATTTTCAGGAAACTCGATGAGGTGTTTTTGCTCCAAAAATTGCCCACTTCAGAGATCAATTACACATAGCCTTGCCAGGCTAGGATTAGGCAACCCGGTTACAACATGTTCAAAAAAATGTGCTATTTCACGTTATGTAAGTTTCATCAGAAAAGTAAATGAGGGAAGGAAAAACGCTTTGTATCTTAGCCTAGTAAGTAATATTCTAGTAGTCGAGTAAAATTTAAAAAAATAAATTGAATGGAAACATCATCATTATCTCTGTTTCGTAAATTATATAAGCAAATACATTAGTTATCGATAAAATTAGATAAAACATTGACGCATAATGTTTTCAGCTTAAATTATATCTGTTTAGTTACTATTCAATAAATATTTACAAAGTCATGCATTGTCTGTAACTATTTAAAACGTTTCGGTGACAAATTTTATTTGGATAATACTTTAATACGAAACCAGATAAAGACAATTATTTATCTGTTATTTTATGTGTTTGTTAATAATAGCATTTGCCCGTAGATAAACAATTAATCAGACTAGTGTTGGGCAACACTACACAATAATAATCGACTATCGACTTAACAAAAATGTTCTATTACCAATTATTCGAATAAAAATCGACTAATTGTCAAGTAACTTTGGTCGTAAAATAAGGATTGGAACGCAGAGTTCTATAAATCTTTGTTAGTAGTTATTACTTTTGGACAAGCGAAGACTTAGTAAAATAATATGTTAATCATTATTGATAAAGATGTTTTGTGGATCGGACTATAGTCGACTATCATCACCTGGCCCCCTAAACAAAGTGACTTTCGATTAGCGATACCACTGGTAGAATCGACAAAATGTGTCAAAATGTATAGGACTGACAAGCACGTGACTTATCATATGTTTTCGTAATTCCCATACATTTTGACTTTTCAATCAACGATAGCGATAATCGATTGTTACTTTGTCTAAGTGATTTGGTATCGAATTTTATTGACTAACTCGCATTCTTTCTTAATAATCGGTTATTACTCGATGAAGCGTCATCAGTGAGCGGCGAGACAGCAACGATGGCAGACGCGCTTGCACTTGAACAGCTTGTAAGAGAGAAGCTCGACGAGCGGCCGCGACCGGACGTGAAAGTTGAGAGGTTCGACAGCGGCGGCGCCAACTACACCTCTGCACTATTCAAAATACTCGTCTCGAGAAGCGGATGGGACGATTTGCATCTGTTTGCGAAGGTTGCCTCCTTCAGCGAGGCAATGAGGACGAAGGTGAATGCCGATTGGATCTATACCAACGAGCAGTTCGTCTACACGAGAATAGTTAAGATCTACGACGAGCTCCAACAGAGCTACGACATCCCGCTGGAACATCGGTTTCTCTTCCCCAAATACTTCGGCCACAGCTCGACGCACGGCCACGAGGCGATTGTGACCGACGACCTGAGTGTGCTGGGATATAAATCATACGACAGACTCGCCTCCATGGACTGGGAGTACGCTTCCAAGTCGGTAGAAACTCTGGCCAAGTTTCATGCATTGTCTATGGTATTTGCACATGAACAACCCGAAGAATTCGAGAAGATAGCAGCGGAGATGCAGTATGGTATCGGTGTGAGCGGGGATGAGGCAGCAAAGGACATTTATGTGAAGGTGGTGGAAAGTTCTTTAGCGACGCTGCCTGAGGATTGCAGAGACAGAGTGAGGAAGGTAGTCTACAGCGAGGACGTGATGAAGTATCATAACAAGCCAGTGAAAAAAGTCGTTCTGGCGCACGGCGACTTTAGACTCAGCAATTTGCTGTTTAAAAAAAAGGTAAAACAAAGAACTTGTTATCTTACAGGTGAATGTAATGTGTGAAGTATCTTAATCTTAATATTATATTTATATCATACCTATTCTCTATGTGTCTTATCAAAATTATGATTATAAATATGAACGTTTGCTTGAATGGATGGTTGTTTCCAGGTGTGGTTTCAAACGGGCTGAACGATCCTGAAAATTTTAAAAATTAAAATTGCCACAGATATGCGATATAGTCTGGATATGCACATGAGCTTTGTGCAATTCGAGACTATATACGACTTGCTGAAAATGTAAAGATTCTTTGGAAAAAATTGTCATTATTTACACTAATTTATGCAAAATTTACGCAATATAATTCTGTGCACAAAACAAAACACTTGTTCGGGATCGTATGCGGACCTGCAGAGAAGTCTTCTTTAACGACTGCTCCACTGGCATTCATTATTAAGTTTTGTCTTCAAAAAGTTAACATTAACTCAACATCTCATAAATTGTAACAAAACTGGGTCTTAACCATTGATCGACATTGTTTACTTCAGTTGACCAATCTATAAAAGTGTGTCGACGCACTCATGCGTTACCGGTCTCAATGACAATACTCGCCATAATACTTACACAATATTCCTAACATGTTTTTATCAATCTTTGGACTATCAATAATAAGCTTGATAGATTTTCTCTGTTTAACGATCGTGTCACTTGATAATTGTACAGTATTCTTACTGTGCTATTAAAAAAACCTGGAGTAGAACTACGAACGCCATTAAAATGTTTTAAGATTAATTCAGTGGAAAATTGACTTTTTTCTAATGTTTTACGCCTTTGTCATTCCAGGAGGAAGGTCTACTGGTACGCACTGTTGACTACCAGATGATGCACGCCGGGTGTGCGCTCGCAGACCTCATATACTTCATTACCGTGGGTTCAGACAAGCAGTTCCGAGAGAAATACTTCTACAAACTCATAGACTTTTACCGGCAGCAGTTGCAACTTGCGCTCTCAAGGTTTTCTCTTGACATTGAAGACGTATATCCCAAGACGATGTTTGACGAAGAACTGTCTGTGGTAAGTAGACCACAAAACAGTACTCACTATTCTTTTAAGAAAGCACCCGAGGATGCGCTTTTAGCTAAGAGGATATCGTAGCATAAAGAAATCAGCTATGAGTTGATAATAACCAGTTGTCAATATAATGCCTATTGCTGGTTCTTCGTTATTTTTGTAATACCTTTACCTTAATAATTCTAAAAAGTCAAAAGACATCCTGTCTCTTGGGAGAAAGACGGTTATATAAGATTTCTACTCATTAAAGCCCCATTTGTTGTCGATCTCCAAGTACAATTGCAAGGGTCCAAGCATGTCCAAAGTCCACTCGAATTGAACTGACCATATTTCATACATTCTGGTAATCTTGTAAATTAATAAAGCTATAACTTTCACAGATTCTGTCCCACGTTGTTGTGATCGGCGTGATGATATTGCCATCAGTGATAGCGGATGTAGACGATGCCCCTAAGGCGGGCAGTAACTTCGACGTCTTCGAGTCGATGGTTAAACCTGGTCGGCTGTATACGGAGCGATTTAACGAACTCATCCAGGACTGTATTGACTGGGGCGTTGTATGACTTACGCTGATACGATAGAGTTGGAAATTATCTAGGGCTAACATCTTATCTTGTTTAGTTGAGTTTTTTATAATTAAAATCTTACCAAATTACCTCAAATCTTTGTACCAGTTTAAATATATTTTTATTAATGTTTTAGTTGTATTTCAAGTGATTTTATATGCGCCAACTGGTGAAACAGAATGTCATTGTTCCTTTTTTTAATGGGTCGGATGCTGCTCATTGTATATTGTTAAGGAAATAAAGTGATTAATTAATGTTATCTGCTGTATCTAATAACACATGAAAATAAAATAAAATGTGATTGAAAATGTAAAATGTTTGTTTTCAACGAATAACATATATTTATCTTGTAAGCTTTTGCTAAACCCCAAGTGTACTGAGTAGCAGTTTTTATTTTATTTAAGCAAGTGTTTTTATACGATGTTCAGTATTGAATGCCTTTATTTTATTAATAGCAAATATCACAATATGTCAAACAATGTAATTGATGTCAACATATCATAATTAATTTTAACGTAACTTATCTCATAGAATAATAATAATGATTCATTAGAAAGTTTAGTAGATCACTTAATTTTTTCGATTTTTGATCATAACTATACTTCACTTCACTTCACTTCACTATACTCTAAGTTCCGTCACTATGATACTCGTCTATTAAATACGGAATTTGCATTCATACGAATATAATTCGATATTTTATGTGTGTGACTAATCAAACTAACCAACCTTATTTAGACAAACCATAATACAATATTTACTACATTACTGAATGATTTTTTTTGTAATTAAGATTCACAATCATAAATAGATAAATTTTAAATAAACAGAAAATGATGTTTCGAGCTTTCTTACCATTTTAAAGTTCTATGCGTATTTAATTAACCGCCCGTAGCTTCAATTTTTAATTAACCGCCCTATTGAGTAATGACTAATGACCCTTTGAACGTATTTTTGTAAAGAATACGTAAATAAATTGTCTGAGAACCTGTTTTAATCAAGGTTAATAGCATATTACGGTTCTGTGGTTTTATTTTCATTTAAATGGTAACTAATTTTCAATACTTGTGTGTTAAGGGATATTTAGGTCAATGGCACCTTCTTCGAATGTGATATTTTTTAATCGAATTCATGACCACGGCCACTGTCAGATGCACTAAATCAGGTCATGATCGTAGACAACGCAGAGCTTTTATTTAAGCGCATGTTACTTCCTTCTTGTGTGTGTAATTTTTATTTTAAAGAGGTAAGCTAGGCTTACAATTAAGCAGTGCCGGCATTAGTATAGGACTCTGTCGACTGCCTACGATGGTAAGTTCTAATTGGCAGCCATAAGCGTCACCAGCTAATAATCTGACTGGTCCGAGCTAGGACTAAGAGGTAGTAGATACCATAGAATTGTCAAATTCGTAGTAATTTTCTTATCTATTTTATACTAGCCGTTCGCGTGCGGCTTCGTCCGCGTGAAATTATAATTTTTTTGTTTGCATTTGTCAAATTCTCAATTGCAAATGTCAAAATACCAATTACCTTACATGACAATCTTGCTTTCTTGATGTTAGCAGCAACTTATGATGTCTTTCCCACACTAGGGTTTTTATCCAAAATATTAACCCCCTAAGTTTAATGGCGTGAAAATATATAGCCTAAAGCGTGACGTAAGTGTAGGGCTTTTTATTAAAAAAAGAATTATTCAAAAATATGCTGTAATTGCTGAGATCTTAGGTAACAAAGAAGTGTGTGTTTACGCTTTATTATAATAGTATAGATTACTGTAGTACAGTTGTCTCCTCTGTTTCACCCCTCTGTCGAATCCTATGCTATCAGTGCTAGTTCTACGTTTGCAGATAAAACTTTTACTTATTGCGATCAAAAGCTAACTGAATTGATTTATGTTACTTTAATACAATTTTATGTTACTTCTAATTTGTTCATTGGTTTTCACCACAGAATATAATACTGTACATTTCTTAGCATTTTACTGATATTACAAGAATCCAATTTAAGTTCAAAATATGTTATCCAGTACTTAATACTAATTAAAATTCACAGCTTAAGTCATATCTTGGTATAAACAAAGTATATTAGTTACTTAAAAAAAAAATCAAATACGAATGAAGATATTATTATTTTTTGTTTTCTTTAAGAATTATTAAAGGTTTTTTTTTGTAATTTGCAATTAAAATTTCTTGAAACAATTGAACAAGTTTTATATCATTAAATGTGGGAATTTTGAAGGTGTGTACTGACTGATGTTACACGGTATAACATGTTACACGGCGAGCAAGCAGACCGTGTTACGGGGAAACTAGCAAGCCATAAGCTATGATGTGAATTACACCACGTAACGTCAATCAGTATGCGCCTTTACCATGAAAACACGGTGTACATAAAAAAACAATCTTTAAATGCAAATTTTATCTTTATCAACAGTTGCAAACGACTTCATCCGCATTCGATTTAAAAAGTCAGTTTTTAATTATTTGTTAAAACAACAAATGCCGTGGGACAGATTTCTTTTGTTACATATACCCAGGACGTCTGTCCTGTCGGAGTGACGACCCTCATCATCATCTCCCTTATCCTACTCTCGCAGGGTCGGCGCACCGGGTTTTCGTCATCCAAATAACTATATCCATATAACCATTAGGCTACTGGCATTTCAAGTGGATTAAGATAATTAAAAATTATGGCCTTGACTTAAAAAAAAGTAATAAATTATGCAAGTGCAATGTTCCAAAGAATAAATAATGTACTTACGTTTGGCAGTTTCCTTGTATTTTATGTAAATTAAATAGTCTGACGAACGCAGCACGAAGAACATTTAATTTATCTTTTTATAGTTATTCTCTTGATAACATTTTAATGTTAGTAAAAGTTACATATAAATAAAAGAGATTTTTATAATTGTAAAGCGGTCAACGAGCAAGCGACTGCTACCCATAGACATGTTCAATTGCAGATCTTTTGTCTCCTCTACTGCCATGTCCACTTTCCTTTCCAAAATAGTGGAAAGGGGAAAAGGATCTAAAATCATACCTCCGGCATGCAGACTCCGGCGAAACGAATTGCTTCCACTTTACGCGTCTTCGGTGTCGTCGTCGCAGTGAAATTTTATTTTTTATTTTTTTTAAATAATTTTTAATCTTTTCTGTAATGGCTGTTACAGATATATGAAAGTACTAGACTGCCGACCCTACCTATGATATGACATCCTGAATAATGTTTTTGCAAATAACGAATCTTGAAGGTTAACAAAAACGAATATATCGTGAAAACATACTTCTAAGTATAATGTTTGTCGTAAAAGTAATATTTTGCCGGTGGCTACATGATGATCTTATCTGGCAAAGCATTGAAAAATTTAATTATTATTTTAATAAAAATATACAAACTATGAAATGTATATGATAATAATGTAAAGTTTCTCACCGTTGTTTAACAAAACCTGAAACCGGAATCTCAAATGCTCTTAACTACTTGTGCGCCTAAAACACGATTAATTTATATTTTTAAAGTCTTTGTTATTTGTCGAATGGCTGCACCACCTGCTGGAATATAATCGAATGTATTTAGTAACTTAATAACGACTTGGCGTAGCTTAATTGTTCTATAACTTACAAGTTGTAAACAAGTGGACAGAAGGCGGGCGGAGTCTCTCAGTAATTCCTTGTCGTTGCTCAGGCTAACTTGCCACTGGCCAGTTTTATTTTGAAAGATTATAAAAATAATAATTTTTCGAAATTAGAACAATGTTCGTGACGTTACTCGTATTTTTCTTAATGCAAGGATGCAACGGTGTTATTTCTACATCTAATTGTAAGTAATTTTTTTTTATCTAGAAATTGTGAATAATTCTCCCCCAGTTAAAAGATTCTGTTTGTATTACTAATTTAAATTAATTAAAATTAATAAAACCACCTAAAAAATTAATGTCTATAATAAAAATAATTTTGTAAATGTTTCAATAATATGAAATTAATTTTATAACGATTGAAAAAAGTACCTTATTAAGACCAAAATAAAGCAAAACAAAATAAAGTAAGTAAAAAGAATAATAATACAAAATCTTTTTACTAGATGTCCCTTTGTAGGGAAGTAGATGTCATTTTACACAACAAACAACAATAAGCTTTCGTTCACGTACGATTTCGAAACGTTCGAAATACAAGCTAAATTCGAAACTGTTAAATCTTGAATCATTTATTTAAGTGGATACAAAGACAATATTCCATCGCGACATTCAATAAAAAAACAAGTGCTAGTGATAAATAAACATTACTTCTGTAACTTCCTTTATCTGGTTCATTGCTTTTACAAAACAAACATTACAAAGGTCAGTGTACATCCCAGAAGATAAATAAACAATCTTACTAATAATATAAATGCGAAAGTTTAGATGGATGGATATTTGTAAGAGTTTGTAGCTTTAACGGCTGAACGGATCTCGATGAAATTTGGCATAGACGTAAATGTCTGGAAGAACAGATAGGATACTCACTTTTTTTTTTAAACCCGGAGCGAGTCGCGGGCAAAAGCTAGTCACTAATAATATTAAAAGCAGGAAAGTTTTTGTAGATTCTTTGCATAGAATAGATTCTATTCTATTCTATTTCTTGCTTATGGCTCTCCCACAGCGGATTGGGCCAGTGTCAAGTGTTTGTGGTTTTATTCTAATTTGGGAGAAACTGGCAACATAACTCTGTTTATGGAGATATTCGTGGGTGTACAAGCGCATAGAATAGATTACATCAATGGGAAAGTTATGGACATGACACAAAAGATAGGACACTGATAATTAATGACCCAGGAGAAGCTGGGGTGGATGGCTAGTATTTAATATTTGTGTGACAATGTCTGACATCTAAAAGATGATAGGTAAGGGATGTTTATCCGAAGATGGTGATCTACAGACAAAAGAATATCTATATGTATATTACAGGTAGGCAGTAGAAACTCTAACATTTAACTAATGCTCGTTTACCACCTTCAAGTAAAAAATAACAGGCTTTTACAGATTAAGCTTTAGTTAAATTTTAGTAGAGAACGTTACATACATTACATCTGTTTTATGAGTAACTTTTTTACAGACAGATCGTGTTTCTTTTTAACAAAATTACCATAAAATTTCAGATTAACCTTATCTCGGGCAAAAGTACAAACGTTTGCACTCGTAAAATACTACTTCTCAAGGCTTACTTGCTTTTTTATGGTATTAAGTAATTTTATGCTAAATTTGCATACAAAATCTGATGTAATTTAATAAGGATTTAAAACAGTGTCTGCTATTTATTTCTTTTTACATCCTAATGTGTACAGTAAAGCTACAAGTTCTGGAATACGAAAGATAAAATGAACACCGCGCCAAAGGAAGGCTACTATGGTTTGGTGACGTGAATTGTGATTACAAGTAAAAACAACGGTAAGATTCAATTATTAATTTTGTATTTCCTTGTCTTCAGCCAGCGAGTACCGTCGTATGCCGCCTCTATACAGCCTGGATGATTACAATGAATGCTTGTCTGATCCTGGAGGTACTTACTGCCTCCTTGACCTCGATCTGTTCTCAAACCAGCCCTCGGAATTAATGCGGTACATACATGTAAGTAACAATTCTTTACACGAACGTAGAATGCATATCCTTCAGTTTATAGAGAACGAGGTGTACACTCAACTCGTAAAACCCTACAGGACTCTATTTACTACGTTTTTCTCCTAGAAACATAAGTTTAATGGCGTTAAAACATACAGCCTAGAGCGTGACGCAAGTGTAGGGCTTTTTATTGAAGAAAGAATTATTCGAAAATATGCTGTAATTGCTGACATTTTAGGCAACAAAGAAGTGTTGTCTTTACGCTTTATTGTAATAGTATAGATAGTACAGATAGGAGCAAATACATGACAAGTACGTGACTTTCTGAAGTATTTTTCACTTCCATACATCTTTGACTTTTCGTTCAGCCAAGTTACTAATCGAATGTTACTTTGTTTAGGGGCTGACTGTGGTTTAAGTATACCGTAATAATTATTCTATAGTTAATCGTTGTATTATTTATTTAATAATAGTTCCTACGAAGTAATAAAGATCTATTTACGCAGTATGACATTTAACAAGTTCCTTTATTATAGTTATTATAACTTATTTTATTCCAATAGTATGTTAGTAATCTAATACGCAATTGGCTACGATCTCATTTGAGTACGATCTGATGGTTGAAAGATGGTGTGCATTAGCTTGGTAAATGCCCATTCACCCTATTCTTGAAATAACTAATATAATTAAACGTGAAAATACGCTGGCAACATATAATTTACTATTAAACTTAGTTATAACGTCACGGTAAAGCACAAGCTAATTAAATTAGGAAATTTTAAAAATTAATCTGCTTAAAAGGTTTTTGCCAAGCTTTTTATCAGACAACGTTATTAAACAAACAATAATTCTTGAATTATAGCCTAAATTATATATTTAATTACGGAATATAAATGTAATAAAACTAAGTAAATTAAAAGTGTTTATGGAGGATAATTACAGGCAATTTTACAACTGATATTAACGACCATCATAAATTAGTCAATGATTTTAAAATTCTAACCGTAGGAATACTTAGCTTAACTCTGCTTTACAACGACAAATCTAAGACAAATTCTAGGAAACTGTCATACGAATATAATAGGAAAATTCCTTTGATAACGGGAAAAATGAAACTATGACGATGCTAATATTAAAACTGTAAATAGGAGAAGCGGGAAGTCCTATCAAATACTAAACAGAAGTCTTAACACTAGGATAACTCTGTACAATTGATTGGTACACCAATAAATCACTTTCCCTTTTAAGACGTCTTGTTTTTTTTATTTTTTTTTTTAACATTTTTTGTTTCAGGAATATTCAGCAGATACACAGAAACATTTCAACCACACACAAATACATAAAGGTGTGTGTGTGACGCGACGTTGCTCACATGCGAACCACACCGAATGGGACCACAATACGACCCTTGCGGCATGCCTTAATGATTCTATATGGAGGAATTATAAATTACAAGCGAGTCTGACTAAAATTCATTATTGTGACAGTGCTGATGATAGAGGAGGTTTGGACTCGAGCGATTTAGCCGTGATTATTGTTTATATGATTTTACTTGCAGTCAACGTTATAGGAAGCCTCTACGATGTCCTTTTTTGCCATCCAAGCAATAAATCAGGTAAAACAATTTTGAAATCAGTCAGGCTTCCAGCAATTCGGTCTTTACCGAAGCTAGCTTATTCTGTTTGTAGCTTGCTTTAAAAGTAAAATAACGTCTATCGCACTATTTTAGGCAATCCGTATATTCTGTCGTTTTCTCTGAGACGGAACTGGGCAAAGCTAGTAGCGCCCGGCGGCGTAGGGCCCGATCCTAGGCTGGAGAGGTTGAAATCTTTTCAAGGACTAAGGTAAGATTTGAATTTTTTAATCGCGGTCATTGCATGATTTATTTTTATTAAAATTTTCCATCATTTCAGGGCCATGACGATGGTATGCGTTATATTTTCACACGTCGCTCTCGCGATGGGATACAGTTATTTGGAAAATCCTGAATTCGTAGAAAAGGTAAAAATAAGTACTACTTAGTTTAAATAATATAATACATTACGTCAGCCTTAACAGGTGAAATGATTGAAAGACATGAGAATCTTATCCATAAAAATAATCAAAAACAAATGTAACTAGTTCGAGTCGTTGTGATATAATCATCTAAATGACTGCAGAGTTTCGATGACCCGAGCAAGCAGATCCTGTTCAACGGCAATCTGGTGACGCACACATTCTTCGTGATGTCCGCTTTCCTGTTAGCCTACAACTTCCAGATCAACACCGAGAAGCACAAATCAACTCTGTGGGACTTCCCAAAAGGAATACTGTTGAGATTAATCAGGTTTGATGAATATGCTGGTTGCTTCGAAATGACGCATTTCAGGTAGGTACATTGTTCGTTGCCCTGTACAGACTGACGCCGACGTACGCGCTGGTGCTGGCGACGAGCGCGACCGTGGTGCGGCACATGGGCAGCGGGCCCATGTGGCGGATGGTAGTCGGCCGACAGGTCCGCGACTGCCGACAATACTGGTGGACACACATGCTGTATATACAGAACTACATGTCCACAGATAATACCTGCCTCTTGGAGACTTGGTATGTGAACCTATTTTAACTACAGAATATCGGAATCTAGGAGCCTTTAGGGAATGGCGCAGCAGCACAATCGTTGTTCTTTTGTTTCTTACGGACTTTAACTTTTTTCCTTTGCAATAACTATTATTATAGTTAACTAAACATTCGTAATAATAAAATATAGCCTATGTTACTCACAGATAAATTACCTTTCTGATGGTTAAAGAATTTTTAAAATCGTCCCAGTAGTTTTTGAGTTATTTCAATACATACAAAAATACAAAGTTTTCCTCTTTATAATATTAGTATAGATTAATCTTTTTCGTATACTTCACTAAAGTTTTTTTATAGGTACTTGGCTGCGGACATGCAGCTGTTCTGTGTAGGCCTGCTAGTGTGCCTGCTGTGCCGGCGGCCGCGCGCCAAGCGGCTGGCGCTAGTATCGCTCTTCTTGTTATCTTTGGTCATATCGGCAGCTACTACTTACTTCAGAGATCTCGATCCTATCATCTACCAAAGTCCTGAGTTAGTTCATTAGAATTTCATTTGATTATGACATTATTGAACATTATTTAGAACAATGTTTATTCCAGAATGATACGTAACCTGTACACGAAGGACTGGACATTCCATTACTCGTATATCCCGGGTCACACCAACCTGGCGCCGTACGTGCTGGGCCTCGCCGGCGGCTTCCTCGCATACCACTATCAGGTGGATGCCAAAGATATGGAAAAGTATAAGGTACGATTTTAAATAAAGATTAAAAATTTTGGAATGCTAAATGTTGGTTTGATTTATTTTATCTTTTGGGAAATAATAAACAAGTTTATTTTAAAATTACAGAAGTACCGATACGTAGTGTGGGCAATTTTTCCTATTGGGGTCCTGCTGATTCTGTCCGGTGCCGTGTTCTACATGGACTTCGTGGTTCCTACTGCATTGAAACTGATATACGCAACTCTCTACAGACCACTCTTCCAATTGATGGTTGCCATTTTTATCATGGCTTGCGTCTTTAAAATAGAATGTTAGTATGTAACTTTAAAGATTAATGTCTAACTAAAACTAAATATGAAGGAGACGTGATCTAGTTTATGTAAAATCGATGTTTGTTCTGTTGCAGCTTTTTACCGCTGCATTGTGGAATGGCGCGGGTTGACTTGGGCCGGTCGGCTGACATACGGCTGTTATTTGTTGCACACATCGTTCCAAAGAGGATTTGTTGGCTCACAAACACGGACTATACACATAAACGAATACACCATGGTATCTTATCTTTGTTATACATTCAGTTTTATTACCAGACTGTGACCTTTTTACAAGCGTATACAACGATGATTGTTCATATAGTTTTTTGCATATTTGGTGTTCTTCCCATGAGCGTCATTGAGGTGCAGTAAGACTGGCTTTTGGTTTGTTTAAACGAGTCTTCTTCTATTTTCAGTTAGTGGTGACGTTTGGAACAATGTTTATGTCAACCCTGGCGTCTGGAGCGCTGTGGTTGTGCGTGGAATCTCCAGTAGCGGCGCTCAGCAAAGCATGCTTCGCAAAAAAGAAACGAATTGAAACTTAGTACTTAGTATATTTATTTAGTTTATAAGGGTTATTTAATTACATGATGAAAATTAGCCTTAAAATAATACCAATAAATTAGTGAGATAAGTTTTAGAAAAATGTTCCTTTTATTTTCCTTCCTAATTACAGTGAATTTAGTAGATCATGGGTCAAAATTAAGCAATTTCAAGATCTTGATAGAAAAGTAAAAGAAATAAATCGACGAGAGTTTATTCAACATTTTTGTGATTAATTAATTTTTATGTTGAATTAAAGTAAAAAATATAATTTGCCTACTTCCTATCTGCACCACTTTTTAAGCTTTTAAATAAGCGTAATAAACATTTTGTCTTTAAAATCGATTTTTGTAAAGCTTCAGTAAAAATTAAATGAAATGTTACCTTTGCATTGTTCAGTATACTCTTTGGTTAAAAGTTCATTTCATTCAAGTTAAATTACTCATTCCGTTCATCTTCAAGGCACACATGAATTTGGCGATTTCTTGACGTTTTGTCATTTTCATGGCGAGTTCTAGGATTATTTAAAATGTGATATAGATAGCAACTAAACTAAATATTTATTGCAATTGTAATTGTTATGTTTATTAGTGGTTGCATTCAGAAAAAAGTGTTGACACATACTAATTTGAAGTTTTTGAGGTTATGTTCGTATCGTCGCGGTATTTTCTGACCAAACCAAACGGAGAATGACCGACGGGGACTCTAATATTCATAGTAGAGCGGTAGCAATACCATGGCCATTTGTAAAAAGAAATGTAGAATGCGCGGGGTCCGCATTCTTACGATATTATAACATCAAATGTCACGGGGCAGATACACAGCTGTTAACTTCCGCATCGAAGGAGAATAGCGAGGAGGTAATCTTTGAAGATGATGTGGAATACTTGAGAAGTTTAGACCCGAAGGAATGGAAGAAACAAGATCATTACGCTGTGTTGGGTATGAAAGACTTGAGGTATAAGGCCTGTGAGGACGACATAAAGCGTGCGTATCGCCAGAAAGTACTTAAACATCATCCCGACAAGCGGAAGGCACAAGGTGAAGAGATACGTAGCGACGATGACTACTTCACATGTATTACAAAAGCATATGAGACCCTTGGAATACCCAACAAACGAAAATCATATGACTCTATAGATCCTCAGTTCGACGACTCAATCCCTTCCTCGGCAGAAATTAAAAAGGAAGGTTTCATCAAGGCCTTTGCTAAATACTTTGAAATGAATGCTCGTTGGTCTGAAAAGAGGAATGTTCCTTTATTGGGGGATGAGAACAGTACCCGTGAATATGTCGAGAGGTTTTACGCTTTTTGGTATGAATTTGATTCATGGCGTGAATTCTCGTACTTGGATGAGGAAGAAAAAGAGCGAGGAGCAGACAGGGAGGAGAGACGGTGGATAGAAAAACAAAACAAAGCAGCAAGAGCAAAGTTAAAGAAGGAGGAGATGGCTCGGATACGAAGTCTCGTCGACTTGGCTTATGCTAATGATCCTAGAATCCAGCGTTTCAAGCAGGAAGACAAGGATAAGAAGTTGGCAGCAAAGCGAGCTAGACAGGTAATATATCTTATACTGAGTCTTGCTTACACCATTCCATGCCATTAAAGCCTTAACTTGAGTAATTGTTTATTCCACTTCTCATGGGTAACACAACTAAAGGGCTTTTTAATTATTTTCTTAATTAGCTCATGTGTAAAGCAGATTTGTAAATCAGAATGTAGCTCAGCTCACTTTGTATGTATTTGTATATGTATGTATGGAGTTGTGATTTGTGTTTTTTATTTCTTGAATTATTGTAGAACAGCGCAAGGAATAAGGCAATATTAGACAATGTAATTATTATGCCATCTATTGCTTTACACAAAAAAAAATTAATGCTTATGTTTTTCTATTTCAGGATGCTGTTCAAGCCAAAAAAGCAGAAGAAGAGCGTATATTGAAAGAGGCATTGCTTGCAAAACAGAAAGCTGAGGAAGCTGAAAAAGCTCGCCTTGATGCCGCACGAGCTGAGAGAGAACAACAGAAAAAGAATCTGCGTAAAGAACGCAAATCGCTAAGAGACATATGTAAAGCCAATAATTATTATGCTGAAGATGAAAATGAAACTGTCGCTCACTTGGCAGCCGTAGAAAAAATCTGTGAAATGATGAAGGTTGTTGAATTGCAAGATTTTATGAAAGAATTAGAATCAAATGGTAGGGAGGCTTTCATTAAGACAGTTCAAGAAACAGAAGATAAATTGGAAGCCGAACGAAAGGCGATGTTTGAAACAAAAAAAGCAGAAGATCAGAAAGCCAAAAAGAATGCTATTCTGAAAGCTCCAATTGAGTGGACCCCGGAATTAACTCAATTGCTAATTAAGGCCGTAAACCTGTTTCCTGCGGGCACAAATCAGAGATGGGAAGTGGTTGCTAACTTCCTCAACCAACATGGAACATTTGTTGATGAAAGACGCTTTAATGCCAAGGAGGTACTCAACAAGGCTAAGGATCTTCAGAGCTCAGATTTCTCAAAGAGTAGCCTCAAGAAGGCGGCCAATGAAGAAGCCTTTGATCAGTTTGAGAAAGACAAGAAAAAAGTTATAAATAATATTGATGACAGCAGTATATCCAAGAATGATACAAAAATAGTGAATGGAGTGGCAAAGCCGAAAGTTAATGGGGATATTAGCAAGGAAGCGGTAAAGGAAGACAAAGCATGGACAAAAACTGAGCAAGAATTATTGGAGCAGGCGATCAAGACATTCCCTGTGAGCACTCCAGAGAGGTGGGAGAAGATCGCAGACTGCATCCCCAATCGCACTAAAAAAGACTGCATGAAGAGATACAAGGAGTTAGTGGAATTGGTCAAAGCAAAGAAACAAGCAGCAAATGTCGCTTAACAGTTCGTCCATTTAATGCTATTTACACTATGACAGTGTAAATAACATTAAATGATGGATTGTGAAATAGGAAGTTAGAAATTTTCATAAAGATAAATTTTAACTGCACTGTGTTATACAAAATAATAGTCCTATTCTAAATTGAACAATGTTAATTGATCAATATAAAGTATTGGCTGACTGTGGTACAAATCAATGTTATAAAATATTTTAAAACCTATAAAGACCTTATGTAGCATATTTATGAACTGAAAATGTTTATTTTTGAGGTTAAATATGTAATTAAAGTAAAATCTCAACAATAGTCATGCTGTAATTTGACCTATCACAACGTTATGAACGGAAATGTTGGTGATATCTATATTATAAGATTTTTTGCAAGTAACCTAGTGTTTTATTGTTTTTTATCTATAGTTAAAATTCCTAACAGTTGGACAATTTTCCCAGATGTAATAAAGAGTGAAACCTCCGTTCATAAGACACTTAATTGTGTCATATTTTTGTATTTATTTTGTTAAATTTGATGAACATAGTCAATTAAAAGCAAACTTGTGTTTCATTTCAATTTTTTCTAGTAACTCTGTTTCATGACCAAAATGGCGTGTAACCTATCGCGAATAGTTGTCTTGTTACTTTGAAATGTCCTGCGAGATTTTATATTTACAAAACGTTTTAGGTTATCTCGCAGATGAATAGTCTTTTTAACGCCATCTAGCGTCCAAACTATTTCTTGTTTTCGATTAACAATCATTCTTCAGATCTTTTTGGAGCCTACATTTAAACATTTTCGTAAACAAAGATTTAAATAAAACGATTTTGTAATATTGGAAGTCTTTATTCAAATCAAAATCATAAATTAAAATTCGACTCATTTAGAAAAACTAAACATACTCTGATTAAAAAAATCGTTTGAATTAATCCTAAGGACGTTTCGTCCAAACTTACTAAATAATTGTCTCAGTATTACGGACGAATAATATTAAAAAAAAAGATAAACATAAGAGTTTGGTTCCGTTTCAATAAGGCACTAGATGGGCCGTAAATTACAATTAAAGCTAATATTGTTGCATCCGCACTGAATGCATTTAATTATTTTTTACTAGAATAATAAAACATCGTTATAACAAACGAAAACATAAAATAAGGTTAGTTGCGGAAATCCTCGGTATTCCAATTTACGAATAAATTGATTTCTTCCTTCAAGAGACAAATTCGTCCTCTTACAAATAACGAATTAGGTAGCAGTAAGTTGTGGAAAGGATGGGCAATACATACAAAACATTTAAACGACTAATTTTTAGGTGGAACACCACATGATTCCCTTATTTGTACATACTATTTTATATAGACACGTATCTCTTGAGCTCTAGAAAACTTTTAATGTTTAATATAAAAAATGTGGTTGTAATTAAAAAAATGTACATCGGAAATTAAAACCGCAAAGTTGAGGAATTTGTAACAGCAGATATACAATAGAATATAACTGAAATAAAGTAAAATGTACTTTACATCCTTGCAATAAGACTTACATTGAAATTTCTAAAATTCTTAATTTCAAATCAAAAGTTCACTTCCATTTTTTATTTCTACAATGATCAGAGTTAAATTAAATATATTCAGAGCGGATTTCAAAGCTTATTACTATTATAAAGTATTTTAAACATAACTTTATACTAGAGTATTTAGAAATAAAAAAAATAAAAACTATAAAACTGAAAAGTGCTAAAGCACATACTGGACATTTTTGTTAAACATCCTCTTTGTTCGCTCTTAGACAAATATTTTTAACATTGAATTAAACTATTACCTTACAAATAAACACGGTAAAAAGTTAAACTTAGGAATAAACTGAGTAAAAGCAAATTTTGTTCTAATATTTGCTTAGTTTATTTCTGTGTTTAATTTTATACCGCTTTTATTTGTAAGGCTGTTACAATATATGTATATTTAAGATATATTATATAACAATATGAATGAATAAATATTTTAAATATAATTTATATGTTAAAAATTTAAAATTTTGTAGTGACTTACAAAGTAGGTCAAAGTAAATCTGCATGCATACAATTATTGTTCTGATGACCGAAATAGATCCCCATTGTCAAGTGAATGAATGATTCACTCATTACGGATTTACATTGAATTGGACTGTGGCCAAATATAATAATAATAATCTAGTCTTTAAAAGTCCTAAAACTAAAAAAAAAAACATACTATTCTATTCGAAATTTAAAATAATCAGAGAGCAAATGTGGCATAGATTTTTGTCTAGGTTTTATTAAAATAAAGAGTTGTGGTATTTACGTTTAGGCATTTTTTATGCCAAATTGACTAATCAATTGCTATAAAATACTTTATGCTACAAAAAATGTATGTACTGAAACAGTATGTATGTATTGAAATCTAACCCTAAGTCTGGTGAAAAATACTGTTTTTTTAATAGAATAAGAAAACAATATTTTATAAAAGTGATTAGCCAGAGGAAAGTCATAGTAAGCAAACAATATAGAATTGAATGGCCATAAATGAACTAATAGGTAAGCGTTACTCATTTGTTTTGTATGAATCCTTTACGAGTACAATATGCAGGCAGGATGTTGTTTCATGTTTTTATAACAGTGAAAATCTGTTGTAACACTTGTATTACAACAATAATGCTATCATGTTCAATCTCTTTAAAGAAAAGGGATATCAAGTGTTAACCAATACAACACTTATACAAAATATAGTCAAATATGACTACAAAATGCACCATAAATTATTTTATAATATGTCTGATATAACTTTTTTTACATGTAATTTATACATAAGTACTGTTTTTGAACATTTATTGAGAGAGCACGAAAATATTGACGTTTTAGTCAATTTGTAATCAATGAATTTGTGCATTATTAGTCTTAAATCACACCAAAATTGTTAATTATTAAAACAACTGTCAATCATGAAGATAAAGATAAAAAAACATAATAAAATTTGAGCTTACTATAATCAGTCTTATTATAAAATGGAATAACAAAAATATTAAAGAAAAAAAATACCTTGAAGTTGAGAAAAAAAGTTGACCTAAAGTTTTCCATAATCATAGGAGCACTTTTCTGAGATTCTAAGTCGAAATTCTGAAATATACCTGTAATTACTGCTAGTCAAAGTTAGATAACTTAGACCTTGCTAAGTGCTGCATAACTTCTATATTGTTGAAGAATTTTCAATAGAAATATAAAATTAATAAAATCTATTTTACAGTATATAATATATATATAATGTAAATACTTAGCATTTCTGTGTTTTTCGTAGTAACCAATATTATTGGCCTCTATTGACCATTGGTATATGTATAAAATTTTACTGTTATGAGAATCAATCTAAAATATAATTTAATATTTAAAAAATGGACATTCTAGATATAATCACAAAATGGAATGTTTTTAAAATAGCTTAAATCTAGATTAAGGCACATAGAGACCTTCAATTTAAAAATAAAAATGGCTCATTGGTTCTTTTCCTGCAGGTACTTCCACAGATTAAATAGATAATAAATATTTCCTAAATTAATGTGACATATATAAAATACTTTTAAGTTTCAGATTAATATCAATTCGAAAACATTTGTGACAATGTTAAGCAAAATTAATTGTGTCTTTGTTTAAAACAGAAATTGCTGTTACTCTATGCCCAAATTATTGTATTCTACATCCCTTGCTTTTCTTGGCCTGTTTTCTTTTCTTCTTTTCTAATCCTTCTGCGGTAATATCAGAGATGACAGAGAGACGTTTAACAGAGTCACCTCTCTCATATCCGAGTGGTTGAACACTGTCATTGTGGCTTGTAAATGTTGTGTCATAAAAATGACTGTTTTCACTTTGGCTTTTTGGTAAAGCATTATGCTCAACATCGGTACCAGATAATACATTATCTGTAGGGTAATGTGACGCAGGCCGTATGCTGATGGGATCTGGAAACCTGGGTTTTTTACCAGCTGCAGGTGGAGGAGGTGGTTGTCTGTGTTGGATAGATGAGGCTGTACTGCTTACAGACTTGTCAGCTAAGGGTGGAGGATGGACATGAGATGAGGTAGCATTAAAACTGGATCCCGAGTCCTGTTTATAATACTGAGTTGATAATTCTTTGGACAGCAAAGCACTCGCCTTTGACTGTATGACCTCTTTTTCAAAGGGCTCTACATAATTTAAATCAGAGTCAACTGACTTGCATAATCTGAGTCTATTTTCTTGAATCACATCACGAGGATTACTGTAGGCATCACAGAGTGTGGCTTGGGGTGTTTCCAGTGAAGGTTCCTGTTGCTGTGCTAGTCTTTGTTGTTTCTTCAATAAAGCTTTTTGTTTTGCTTTTTCTTTTGCTCTCTGTAACTTTTTGTACTCCCGTTCCTGCAATAGCCGCGCTAGCTCACTATCCTGTGCTTCAACTGCACACCTCATGTCGGCTAGCAGGACATCCTCGTCGCATGTTTCATGACTCAGTTCTCGAGCTAGTCTCGCATCTTTTTCCTCTTGTTCTAGACGCCGTCTCATCTCTTCCAACTCTGAGGAAGAGAGGCCTAGTTCTTCAGGGTCGATTTCGGGCGGCGGTGCCGGAGGAGGGGCGCGGGACGAACTCGGTTGTTGCATTATATCATTGTGCTGACGTCGCTGTCTACGAAGATTAATTTCGGCCATTTCGCGGGCAATCTCCGCATCTATATCCGCTTGGCGACGACGAGCGAGTTCTTTCAAACGAACTTCGTGCTCAATCCCCCGCTGTTCACTCAAAGCTACCGGAAAATCTTCACGTATTTGCTGATTGCGGTACCTATTCTCGCAGAGATGAGAAGAGATCTCACGATCCTGCAAGCGGTGCGCCAGAGCTCCGTCGGCGCGCACCAGCCACTGTTCTCGCAAGTCCGTGACGAGCCCAATTTTAGGCATCGTGTCGTTTGCATGGAAACCTGCCATTCGAGTAAACACAGACACCAACACTTTCTAATTATTTAAATCGATCACGATACGCGAATTAAGATCGGACAATGTAATAAACATTGATCACACACGAACTGCTATAGTTTACAACGGGAGTAATGAAACTGGAAATCTTTTACAGAAAGTACACTTTCTTTGGAATACGTGGGAACGTGAGGTAACTTTTTACGTAGTACTCGTAGACAATGGGTCTGATAATCTGCATAATTAATTACAGCCAACTTGCTCTCGACCCGAATAATTACACACTTTTCCCCACCACAACAAATCTTAAAATTCCTAAATAATTGACAAGGTGGAACATGATCGTGACATGACAGATGAATGAGTGAGAGTGAAGGAAGTGAATGACAAATTTTATCAAAGAATAGAACTGTCAATATTTTATTAAGAATCGATTTTCTTCCAATATGGAAATTAATCGATTCAAATAATTTAAAATGTTTATTTAACAAACTTCAGACAACGTGCCGTTTTGTTTTAAGGGCTTAAAGGCAATTTTGAAATAACGAAAGTTACACAAAAGTTTACTACATTACAAACCTAAAAACTAATGAATATTTTATTTTATGCATATTTAGCTGAAAGGTGCTATAGTGATATAAAAAGTCCGATGTTAATAAACTAGCCTAAGTTGTAAAAACCAAAGATGTTTTAACATATCATCTTTTTAATTTATTTACGGAAATTATTAAGTTAATGTTCATTTTTTAAAATTAAACTATTAGGATAATACAACCGAAAATTAAAAACGACTCAACTCACGTTTTTATCCTCCGGTGACGGCACCGACTAGTTTCAGACCCTTCGGGGGTCCTTCTTCGGGGCGAGTATTAGTTAGCTTTTGTTCGCAGTCACGTCATGCCTCCGAAGGATGAAAGCGTGAGTTGAGCCGTTTTTAATTTTCGATTAAAGTTATGTCTCACGATACGATTTATACAATTTAATTATTGGGATAGTAGTTGTAAAGGTAAACTTTTCTAAGCCACCGCCGCTTCTAAGCTATTCGTTATTCGGGCGCCACGATCCTGGTAAGCAATGGCAATGATAATATAGACTAGGTAGAGAAAACGATACCGCGGAAGGGAAATGACATTATTTAAAATTTTTCGGAGCTGCGTAGTAAGTAATGTGACAGAGTACTGAGTTCTAAATACATTGAATATCCCAATTTGACAGTCAAATTAGTATACGGAGTTGCAAAATACATAATTTGACTTTCAAAGAAGCTGCGTCTTTGTGGAGAGTTCCATATCAATGTATAACAATGTGTTGCGATTGTATCTTGTTTTAGGGTTCATTTCTAACTTAAGCGAGGACTTAGAATTGTAAACACTAACTAGCTCAACATTAACCATTTATATCAAACAAATATTAACTAGTTCAGTAAAATTGCATATATCAAGAGGTTATGATCGCCCTTATTTCCGGTATACTAAAAAAGGATGGGTATTGACGAAATACCAATGGATACGGTTGTTGTATTGACTTTTATTATAAAAGTCCATATTAACAGCAATGTTAAATATTTACAAATCTGACAAGTATAATGGAATACTTCTCTTACTTGTTGTTTTGCATTAATTATAATTATCGTCCAGTATAGTGAGCACAGTATACTTTAAAGTCAAAGTATTTGTCGTAGTATCTGCGGCAGGTTACATTACGTTACGTTATTTCTTTCGTGGGTAGACAAACATTCAGTTGACGTTTGGGTGACGTTTTGCTTGGTGTAACGAAAAGTAGCATCGGTTTCTAATTAGCGTTGAACAAACAGGAAGTAACTAGTCTAAGCCAAAAGTATTTATTGAACTCTTAATTTACTTAGATAAAACAAAGAAAAAAACTAAAGTATTTCGCTTGGTAAATATATTTTCATACGGAACCATGTATACGGAACAAACATCGGATTAAAATTCGTCCAACATTAATAATTTAAAGGAATAAATCAAAATTACAATAAATATTAAACATGTATCCGTTTCTGTCGATCGCAGTGTAAATAAGAACAATAACCTAAACTTGTTCGGTTCCCGCGCACAAACATGAGCATTCGCGCGCCATAATCCGGCCGAGCGTCACCTTTCCCGCTGGTTTATAGCTGGAAACTGCACGGAGTCACTGCTCGCGTCCTCTATGTTCAAATTGCAAATTCTTAAGAATTTTATAATGGCTACAAGGAATATAGCTCTACGCAATTACTCACCTAAAGTAAAGTAAGTAGTTATTTAGTTATAATTATCAGAGACAGCATTCAAATTAATTTAAAATTTGTATAACACAGCAAATAAAAATGGCTAACACAGCATTATTTTTGCCTACCTTGTGCAAAAAATTAATGTTTTTTTTTAGTCAATATCAACTTATGGCAACAAAACGTTTTTTAAATTAATTAATGGGATTCAAAATAAGATCGTAGGGTACACAAAATTTGTATCAACAGTTAAATGTTCGTTACTTGGGTACGTTAGCCACATGGTTTTGAGTAGGTTCATGGCAATTGAAGTGATAAGAAGAAAGCTACGTCAAAATTATCTTTAATCTCAATTAAACAACATAACTAGTTCTTAGTAAACCAATAATTAAATTTTAAAAGGGTCTTTTATTATCATTATTATCAATTAAAAAAGAATAGAATTAAAAACCTGCTTATTTTATTAATTTGCGTTGTTATCCTCTGTAATACAATTATTTTTCAGAAGCCTAACAATAGGCGACAAGCTGATCTTATACGGCGACGAGGCGTCTCCGCCCGTGCGGTTCGTTCAGATGACAGCCTCCATCCTCGGTATTGTCCTCGACTTCCGTACCGTCGACCTCTTTTCTGGTGAAAATAAGACAGAGTTCTACAAAAATGTTAGTATGGATATTTGTCTGATAGAGTAACTACATTTAACTATGTTTGAACTCACCATGTTCGATTTTGGTCATCAGCCGCTTGGGAAATTCTTTGAATGAATTACTAAAATTAACTTACAGTGAGTTCATTTTGTTCATAATCATCTGCCTCTGTATGCTTATTGCAGAACATAAGTCCAATGTCTTCTGGTCCTTGTCTTCGTCCTAAATCTTCATTTTAGAAATTTCCTTCTCTTCCTATCTCCGCTAGTTTATTTTTTTCAATTTTTAGATCAACCCGCTGCAGAAAGTGCCATGTTTAATGACGCACGACGAGGTGTTAGCGGACAGTCAGGCGATCGGACTGTACTTATGCCGGCGTTGGGACACCGAGCACGTGCTCTACCCCCCAGGCGACCTGGAACAAGCACGCTGCGATGAGATCTTGTTCTATAATGCCACCACGCTCTTTCCCATAGACAGCGATATCTATGTGCGTTTGTATAACGAGGTGTAATAGGATTTTAGAAGTACCCTTCTTGGAGTCTTGTTTGAGAGGCTTATACCTCTACCAGACAATAGATAGGTCTTCATAAACTGAAATTATCTGTAATGATTTGAAATGTAGTTCACGCTAAGGATGAAATAAAACTATAGCGGGACTAGAGTTAATTAATAACCCATGGCAATTTTGCAGACAAAATTTTTCGCTGGAATTCCAGCCAGCAAAGAAAGAATTGAAGATTGGTTAAAAGCATTGGACTTTTTAGAAAACAGGCTGAAAGATCATACTTGGCTTGCTGGAGATAGAGTAAGTGCTTTCAAAGTAATAACTAGTTATTTGAAGATATGATTTTGATATTATTATGTATTGATTCAGATGATGCTTGCTGACATATGCGCTGTGGCGACGATATCAACGATGCTTTGTTTAATACCATTAGCAGACCATCATGTTAAACTGAGGCACTGGTTTAATGAAATTGAGCAGCAACCTTTCTTTAACATTAATAAACGAGGCTTAGAACGTTTGACGAAATTTATAACCGCAGTTAGAGTTGGAAGATTTCAGCCAGGAATAAACCTTGATCAAAACTGAACAAAAACAAATGTTTGCATTGAAAAATACAGAATATGGCATATATTTAACTTTTAGTGTATTTTATATAAGCAATAAAGTTTTAATGCAATTTTGAATTACGCATTTTTTGTCATCTTCGTTATTAAAACAAAATCCGTTTGTAATGTGAGTACTGTTTCTGAGATGCATAGCTTTTGGTTTTTGGTAGTTCACTTTGAGCCTTTAAATTTGAGGAATCATTAATTATGTACATTCTAGTAACAAAAAGTCGTTCCGATAAAGGTCGAAATTAAAAATTAACTTTTTCCAATGCACGGATCACTGAGCTCGATTTCAGATTGATTCCAAAGCTAGAAATTTACCGCCATATTCATCTTCATACACCTTTAGTTTCGAAAATATTGTAAGGTTCATGAGGCTTTAGTATCTCTTTTATTCGTAATAAGTATGGCAATCAAAGCCATAGATTACGAATTTTTGCACTGGCAATTTTTTTTTAAGCTCTCTTGAAATGTCAAGTTTTCTTTGTCTATGGACTCTATTGATTGGTCAACGAGGAGATGTAAAAAATGGCTGCCTTGCCTTCTCCTACTCAGGTAGAATAAAGTAGATGAAAATTATTTAAAACATATTGTTTATTTCTAACAATAGTGAAAACTAAAGTTCATTAAGTATATAGTAATTGAGTGCAGGAAAATTGCGCCGTTGTGAATCGTGTTCCCAGTAGGAAATCGTTACAAAGTGTCATGTACTGGTTTCGCTGTTTTGAAAATTGTGTATTCCAAGAAATTTCTTAGAATGTATACCAGTATCTAGTTAAATTTTAGTGAAGTGGACGTATTATGGTGTTCATCCAATAATATTTAGTATTTTTTGGCATTAGTTACCTAATTACATCAAATTTTGCGCGAACATTTAATGTCAGAGTGTAATGTCACACATGTAACGCTCGTTTAAACGTGAATTAAACAATATTTACGAGTGATATTAACATTAAAAATGTGGCTTAACGGATTGCAGGTGGCAGGGACCCACAGTTCTATATACGAAGCCTATTATCATCAAGTAAGTACATTTTTCGTATGCCCATCCCGTAACCGAGTATTTCAGGTAAGTTCATATTTTTCCATAGTTTTAAATTAATTTAAGCAATGAAAGTCTATAGTGATGATCTATAATTGAATTGTAAGTTTACCGATTATAAATGTCGAAGACTGCGAGTATAAATAGACGTCTATAAGCCTTCGCATTACGAACAGCTTTCTAGATTTCGCCATAGCTCTTTAGTCTGTTTATACTTTTTTTATGGATTTCATGAAACTGACGTCTGGCTACATGGTGAAAAACGTCTGTCTTAAGAACTGACATTTAATTTTAAACTACTTGGTTGTAAAGTAACAGGCAAATATTAGGTAAAAACAAAATTATTCGTCTTACATTAAATGTTTTCCATCATAGTGCTGTGTGGTTTTTTTTTTAAATTTAAATTTAAAAATCTCCATATAATATACTCTTGGCACATGTACATTTGAATTTAAATGATGATATAACTTATTGGAAGTTAAACATTTGTTCTTTGTACACCCCTTTATACTCAAATATATTGGAATTTGTACAGTTCTCACTTATATACTTCACCTGCTTCCATTATCTATATTTAAGACATTTTGTTATGTCCAGTCATAATGTATGTGGTTTAAATTTCTATAAGCCAACCTGCATTATTTTTTCTATACCTTTACTTGTATATTGACTAATCATGCTGTATTACATAATAAAACACTTGAAATATATTTTCTACTGAGATTTGCGTTGAGCTGATAAATGGGTTTTTACAACCATCATGAATATTAAGGTAGCCTTTAACAATGATTTCTAAATAATTAAAAGCAATTAGCATAACACAGATTGGCTTTTTTGTAAATATACATAAAGGATTTATCCTATTGGTTATTGTTCCTTGTCCTAATTCTTACAAATTGGTAAAATAACTATAGCTTTAAAGTTTGAACACCAGTAGATTCCATGGCTTTTTCCATTATACTACCAGTATATAGAAACTAGAATTCACCTGTGACACCATCCGAATAAAATTAAAAAACAAAAGTATGTAGCCTATGTGCTTTTCCAGATTGTCCTCAACAACTATGCCAAATTTCATCAAAATCCATTCAGCAGTTTAGCCTACAAACTCTAACATCCATCCGTCCCTCCATACATTTACACTTTCGTATTTATAATACAGTAGAACCTCAATAACTCAAACCTCAGTAACTTAAAAACCTCTATAACTTCAAAAAATAATATGTTTCATTCCCATCAAAGCCCAAACATCTATAACCTAATACCTATAATCTAACAGTGGTAGAGCCCGCTTTAACATCTTTGCACGAATGGGCCGGCTCGCCCGGTGCAATACCACGACCACATAGAAAACAGGCGTGAAGTGGAAGCAACTCCGCGTTTTGTCTGATGAGTGTGGTGCCGGAGGCCTAATTTTAGTCCCTTTTCCTTTCCACCCTTTTCTTAAGAGGAAAGGATGGGAGGAAAAAGTGGATTGGACGGTGAAGGAGATGCATAGGAAGGGGAAATGTTCTCTTTATGTGTGTCTCCTCCTCCGTCAATTAGGGTAGGCAACGCATCTACAATAGCGGATGTTTATGGGCAGCGGTCGCTTTCCATTTCGGTGGATTCAGGTGGCCGTTTGCTCGTTTGCCACCTCGTATTATAAAAAAAAAAACCTAAAGTATTTTGTGTTTCCCTTGGACTCTAACTGTACTAAATATTTGTAGACTGTACTGTAAATAAGTATTTGTACACATAGTACAAATTATCTAGGAAGACATTGTCTGACTCTTTTTTAACTGCATTGTACTAATGTAATGTTTCATTGTAATGTGCGCTTTAATTCATTTGTAATAAGATGCATTTTTCTATAAATCTCCACTTAAAGGATTATCCTTTGATACTGCCAGTTTTTTAGCAAGCTATTTGTGAAGGAGTTGTAAAAGAGTGCTTTAAAACCTCGAATATTAAATTTTTGAGCATCATTCACTGTTACTAAAAACTGTAGCATTGCAAAATTTTTTCCTATGGGAAATTTATTTTTGTATTAAATAGTATTAAGTGGGTTTGATCTTTGATAAATGTATAACAGCATATTAAAATCTAATTCCTTTAAAGGAACAACTACTAAGGGTACTATTAAGTTCTTTTTTATAACATGTTATGCGACGAAATGATGGGGACATAAACCAGAAAGTGTTGAGATTGAATGTGGATGGCTACAAAGGAAGAGGAAGACCGAAGAAAATATGGATGGATTGTGTGAAAGAAGATATGCTTAAGAAAGGAGTGGATTCAGATATGACGGCTGATAGAGATGTATGGAAGAGCAGCACATACTGTGCCGACCCTCCAGAAGGGATAAGGGAAAGTGGATGATGACACAGAGTCATGGGCAATAGCTAGTAAATGATAAAACTGAAAAGTGACTTGAATTGATAGGCTCTAGTAACCTATTTTATGGACCTCATTTCTATATTTTGGCCTTCAAGAGACATAAATAATTGGCACAATGCCTTGCCAAGATTCCCATAATTTGTTCAAAATGTCTTAGTTTTGCCAATTTTTAACACAGTTATTTAAAACACATGTGATTTGTCTAGAATATGTTTTTGTCCACGATTTCGTTCAGGCAAAATTAAAAAATAATTACTTGCCTAAGTGTTCTTCTTCTCAATTTATGGGACAGTTTCACTAATATAGTAACATCCATTCACCCATATATCTATCCAATCTTTCGCATTTATGACAATACTAGCTTTCGCCTGCGACTCTGTCCGCATGGAATTAAAAAAAGCAGAAGTGAGTAGCCTATGTGTTCTTTCAGACTATCCTCTATTTCTATACCAAATTTGAGTCGTTTAGGCTACAAACTCTAACATTGATCCATCCATCTAGACTGATTCGATACCTGAGTAGTTTCCAAATTTAATAACGGTGGTGGTCAAATATCAAGAAGTATAAGATCATTGTATACATAATTAGTACAATAATGCATCCCATAGAAGGAAATTTTATCACGCGAACCATTATAACATGTGTGGACAGTGCTTTGAATTGAACGTACTGATTTTACGGGCCGTTCACACGTCGACAACGCTTACACGCAAGTGCCCTTAACTTTAGGGTAAATAAGGAGGCATTAGTAATATTTCTGTAACAAAAATTCCATTCCTTAAACATTTATTTTGCGTTACAAAATTTACTTCCAATACGTTTTTATGGCTCATAAAATTCGGAAGTATTGATGAACCTTGTATAGACTTTTTTACGCCTAAAAACTTTAAGATAGGCCATAAAATTTTATTTAGCTATAAACTTATTTATATTTTGCTTTCGATCCTCTCTATTTAATAATAAGATCATATTTAGGACAATCACCTGACGTAATCAAGAGATCTATACTTCTATAGTAATATTATAAAGAGGAAAGATTTGTATTTTTGATTTTCGTTTGTATCGAAATAATTCATAAACTGCTGGGACGATTTAAAAAAAATCTTACACCTTTAGAAAGGTAATTTATCCGTGATTAAGATAGGCTATTAGTTTTTAATTGCAGACGGACGAGGTCGCAAGCAACATCTAGTATGTAATATATTTTATTGTACATAAGTTAATCTACATAAGATAATGAGGTCGGAATCATACGCCGACTATCAAATGAATATTGCAAAGTTAACTTGACTTCTCAAGAAAATTTCTCCTTTAAAAATATAAGTACAAACTTTGTACAAATATGAGAAACAAGGTCGAACTTTTGAGCGCCGGAATCTCGTCTGCAATGTGATCAATAAACCAAAAGCATCTTAAATATATTTCCAGTCACGTTTTCATAGACCACTTTTAATTCAAGTAAAATTATTGATAATTAGCTAATTTGATTTACGAATTCATCACCGTTTAGTGTACTTGAAATAACAATTAAAATTAGTGTTTATGTTTTTTTAAGATCTGTATTAAGAAACTATTAAAAGTTCTTGGTTCTCTAACAGTAAAAATTGATTGTATGTAAAATGCCATGTTATCTTATTAATTTTATTGCATCACCAAAAACTATTATTAAAAAAAACCTGTAAGGGTTAATATAGATATGATTATGAATTCTCGTAATATACGAGTCGTCCCTAGAGACAATGTATTCTCTAACAATATGATAATCAAATGCTAATTGCTCCAAGCTACAAGGACGTCTTCGCGTCTGAAGCATACTCAAAGGCACTTTGAGAGTCTTCTAGAATCCTAGGCGCTCAGGACCTCGCGTCGCTACAATATACATGTGGTAGTCTGTGTGTCGTTTGCTCGGATTCAATTACAATCAATTGTGAATCTATTAAGCAAGCATTGTAATGAACAGATTACTACAAACCTGCGAAGAGGCGATTCGGTTTTGACTTATGTTGGAAACGGGATATTATTCTGCATTTTAAATGAATAAACCTATCATAATATAAACTCACTTCTTACTAATATTATAAATGTGAAAGTTTAGATGGATGGATGGATGTTTCTTAGAGTTTGTAGCCTAAACTGCTGAACGGATCTTAATGAAATTTGGCATACATGTAGAGGATAAACTGCAAGAACATATAGGCTACTTGGTTTTGTTTATTTTTAATACCACGCGGACGGAATCGCTAGCGAAAGCAAGTCATAATATAAATAATCCTTTCGTCTTATATGTAGTCTTAAAGTATCTGATGATGTATTTCAGGTTGACCCGAACGGCTCGGGCGCGATCCAAGCTTTGGACGCGGCGCGGTTTCTCAAGAAGTCCCGGCTCAGCGATGTCGTACTCAGCAAGATATGGGACCTTTCGGACCCCAATGGCAAGGGGTACTTGGACAAGGTACGAATTATGTATTAAGATATTATTTACAATATACTCTATAACAGTACAGTTTGGTAAGCCATCAATAACTCCTTTTTGTATGTTTTAATTAAAAAGGTAATTTAATGCTGAAAATATCTGATCTGTGTTTAAAAACTATATACGATAAATTGTCGCTCAGCTGCGTACTTATTGATCGACTTATTGTACTATATAGATAAACAAAAACATTAAAGTGCTAGTACAGAGTTGTAATAAATTCGAGATGTCGTAGCGACAATGAGATCCCGTCTGATAGTAATTATAGTCTGTATGGCGTAGTGGCTCGAGTGGAGCGCAATCGAGGCCGTCGCCGATCGATGAGTAGAATTAAAATGCAGCGAAATCTGACATAAGATATTATATTTTATTCTCGTATCTTTCTCTTGGATTAACAATACTTCGATAAGTCAACATTAGATGTGCCAAAATGTAATACTGAAATCTATTAATATTAGGGGCCTGTCTCACCAAATTGTAATTTGTTCTCCTATCCTCTACCAGCCAGTGGTGGCACAGGCGCTTATACTTAAAAATAACGTAAAAATGTAATATTGTACAAGTTTTAAAAAAAGTAGTCGTTTTTTTGTTAAATCAATCTTTACAAATCTGAAAACATGAATGAAATTTACAAGAATAGCTGAAGAAAACAATTTGATAATTGTCTACACGCATGGCGTAATTTGCGTGTAAGCATCTATTCATTCAGTATTTACTAGGCTTGTATATACAAGTATCAGTTATTTATATGAGAATCAGTATTAAAGTAAAATTGCATATTCAATGTTGTAACAATTTATTTCGTTTCTCGCGGAGTACGTCGGATGCGACGTCGCGTCCCATTGTTACCCCTACCTCGTCTCTTGCTTGTTTGTTTTATTTGTTTGCACGAGTTTTTGATATAGAAAAGTTGATTTAATTACGGCTTCCATTCCTTCATGGTGGGTTGATTCTGCGATGAAATGCGCTCGGATTAAAAGAATAAAACAATAAGTACAATAGTAAAGTTTGAAAAGTTTTTGATTTTTCACTTGATACGCGAGGAATAGACTAGTTATTACAATTGAAAATACCTTAGTTTTGAGTGTATCTGAGGCTGATAAGCAAATAAACAGTATGTGCGGACGTTTGCCTGTCGCAATATTACAAGAGATATCGTTATCTCGTTTGCCGCTATGCGAAGCTGACAGACGCACAGACCATTGTACAATTGATGACACTGTTTGACGACTTTATAGGTTTGTTTTTCATATTTTGAGATATCTATGATGTATGTTTGGTTTACATTTTATCTTAATTATCAAGTACAGTACGCTAAACACCTTTACAAGAAGCTATTACGCTTTTTAAATAATAGAATTGTGTTTTGATCAGTGACTCGAGTGAAGTTAAGAATCGCTAAGATGTACGAAAATTAATACAACGCACTTCGATCTCATAGTGACTTCAGATCATGGTTTTACCGCGTACGGTGCTCATATCTTTATTCTACGTAGAAAACCTTAGTTTATGTGTACGTGTGTTTGCAGGCGGGGTTGTTCGTGGCGCTGAAGTTGGTGGCGCTGGCGCAGGCCGGCAAGGACATCAATATGACCAACATACACAGCGAAGCGCCGCCGCCTAAAGTCGTATGTATACCCTGCCATAGTATTTTTTGTAGTGAGTCTTAAAGGGATGTGGGGTCAGCATTGAGCATACCATGTTTTATATATTTTTATTATAGGGTGAATTGCCGAAAGTGCCACCGCCGAGCGCCACGCCCGCGCCAGCCGCGGCGCCCGGCGGCGGCGGCGACTGGAGCATCAAGCCGGCTGAGCGAGAGAAGTACAGCCAGCTGTTCGACTCCCTGCAGCCCAGCAATGGCCTCATACCCGGCAATAAGGTACGTATTCATATTAGAGCTTAATGGCAAACAAAGACGTTGTTTTTTTTTTACTTCAGTATATCATTTACTCATTCTTGTGTATAAATTTGGTAACATTTAAGATTTTCTATTTGCTTCATGTATGTCATGTATCAATTCCAGGTGAAAGGAGTTTTGATGGAGTCAAAATTACCGTTAGAGACCCTCGGGAAGATCTGGGATTTAGCCGATCAGGACAAAGATGGCATGCTGGACAGACACGAGTTTATTGTGGTTAGTGCTCAATAATAATGATCACTTGAAGTCTTGAAGAACAATTAGTGAATACAAAATGTAATGACATGTTGTAGGCGATGCACCTGGTGTACAAGGCGCTGGAGAAGCACGCGGTGCCGACGAGCCT